GCCAAAGTGAAGCAGTCAGTAAAAGAAGTCCCAATTGAACAATATTGAGATGGGTTTTAGCATGTGTAGAGCTCAGGAAACAAGAGTATGAGCACCTTTGCCTAAGGACAAAGACAACTCAAGAGATACGTGGATTCTTTCCCCGGCTTTGTCATGGCCTTGCCAGATAACCTTACACAAACCATCTCTTCACCATCCACCTACASGAGGTCTCAGGAAGTGAGACCTACCATCCTTCTCTGAGAGAAGAACCTTGCTATTTAGTGAGATGCACATGTACCAAGCCATCTCCCAACCTGGTGTGCCTGCAGCAACTGCAACAGGGAACTTTGTGCAGCCACCACACCTCACTGTAACACCAAGACACAGATCCCAAGAATGGCACTTTAGCCTCCCTTGATGTGCACAAAACTTTACCTTTGTTCAGCTCCTATTGCAATAATCCTGCCTTCTGCAGCATCRCTCTCTCTCTCTCCTTTGTTCCCCTCTCCTACTGATTTCATCAGGCACAAATAAATGGCATTTTTCTGGAGCAGTTTTCTCACCCTACATCTACCCTCAGTCCTGTCACTGGCACGTAATGTTAAGCAACAGAGTCTGGTCTATTTACTCACTGACTCTTTCATATAGGCTATACACAGACACAACAGTAGAAATCTCATTTAGCCAAACACCTGCTGCCGAGGTCTTTAAGATGTGTTAGAARGAAAAGAAAACAAAGCTTTGCAAGCAGCCTGGCAGTGAAGCTCACAGCAAACCCTCTCCTTTAGGCCAGTACAATATAGTCACTCTGACAGACAGGAGAGTGCAGATTTTTTCCATTTCCTTTTGCAGATGAAGGTGAAATGCAGCACTACCTGAAACAGTATTATTTACRAAGTCTGAAAAGAAGCTAAGGAATCATCTGGCTTAAAAACTGCATCCTCTATGGGCCCTGCCAGCACCCACCATCCCAATAGTTTTCTAGGGTATTCCAAGAGGATTTTTGAGCTTCTTAACAGGTGGCACAACTTGAAAGACCAAAATCACAGAATCATGGAACAGTCTGGTTAGAAGAGACCTTAAAGCCCATCTCATTCCACCCCCCTGCCATGGGCAGGGACACCTTCCACTATCACAGGTTGCTCCCAGCCCAGTTCAACCTGGCCTTGGACACTKCCAGGGATGGGGCAGCCACAGCTTCTCTGKGCAACCTGTGCCAGGGCCTCACCACCCTCACAGGGAGCWATTTGTACTTAATGTAAACTTCAGACACGCCAAGATGGAGCCATAGAACAGTAACATCAGGCAAACCTAGATTTCTGCAGATTTCCACGTAGCTTAAATGGGGGAGAAGTGGAAACCAAATAATCACAGAGCAGGGGAACTGACACACCCCCCTTTTTAGGGATGTGCGTCATGACTRATTGTGAGATCAGGGACACTCATCTCCCTCCATGCAGTGCTCTCTCCTGTGCCTTTCCTGTCCTTTCTCTGGCCAAATCCCTCCCCTGTGGGCTCTCCAGTAGTAGCATGGTCAGGTTGAGCTCATTTGCCAGTTTGCCCACTGCAAAGGCATTCCTACACTCACTGGTGACCCATTTGGATACAACCTGCRGGCATTAATAATCAGCAAGACTTTTCTTTCTGGGGCATTTTTACCCAAACTAGGGGTTAAAAATATTCCTGGGAAGGAAGAGGAAGGGAGGAGCCAAACAGACAGTGAGATCACTCACTAGRCTTCCATAGGAAACCAGGCTAAAAACAGCTTCCCCAAAAGCTGCTCCTTCTCTTGAGTCAGGGCCACCTAAAAAGTCTGTTCAGCCATGAAATTACAGAAACATATCAAGTGTAACAGTGTAAAGCAGAGGTCTGAGGTAGAAATTCACAGTTAAGCAATGTACAGCACTTGACTAAATTGACAAAAAACACTGATGAATTTGACCAGAATTTAACCCTACCTCACCTGGCAGCATCCAAAAGCCAGGGGGTCACAGCACACTGCTAAAGYAGGGCAGGGTTTAGCACGCTGAGCAGGGTTTGAATACTGCCACAGCGACCATCCCCAGACTACCACAAACCTCACTCACCCTCCTGGCAGGAGCTCACATTGGCCACCCTGACCCTAAAGAACTCTCCTCTGCCACTAGAGCCTCACCAAAACTACACTGCATCATGCTATGAAGTAATTAGCCCCCCCACACACACAAAAAAAAAAAAATTAAATTTAAATGCTCATAAGTTGGCAGCCATACATATGACACGGCTGCTACCTGCGATTAAAGAAATGAAAACCACGTCAGACAAATTAAAACTTTTTCAGTCTAATTACAAGGAGCTTTGAGCTGCATGGCTCAGAAGTTGTGCAYAAAAAGGAAAAGGATTGATATAAGTGGATTTTAGCTCTCACACAGACCCTGTCAAAGGTCACAATGTGACTGCAATACAAAGGCAGTGAGAGCAAGCAGAACATATAAAGAGCGCTTGGGCTGGAGCTTTTGGTGCTGACGGGAGGCAGAGGAGGCAAGGATGATTTCAGGCTGTGGCAAACGAGCAGCCAGCATTCCCATTTGCARTGGAGAGGGCAGGATTTACTTTGGGAAGATCGTTCTGACCTCTGCTGGTCCCCTCAGGTAAAACCAGCAGAAACCTGGAGGGAGGCCGGCAATTCCCAAGGGCTGAGCACATGGGGAAGCGCTGGCCACGTGGCTCCTRTAGGGTCTAGCAACTCATTCAAGGAACACCACTCAGATGAGCTTCCAGTTTACTTCTGCTCCACACTCACATAAAAAACCCGTCATTCCTAGCCCTGAAATTTGCTCCTGAGGCTGCCCAGGTCCTACCACAAGTCATTTTCCAGCYTTTCTCCCCCTGGTGCAGATCCCCCAGGTCATCACTCTTATTCCTGGCCTCCTCCCCTTGCACAGCCACGGCTGGGACATCCTCCACTGGAGAGCTGCTCCTCAAAGGGAAAAAAAGCCATTTCCCTTCACAACAAAGGGGCTCAGCCGCCTGAAGCACCAGGGAATGTCACACCCACCAGTCTGGAACAATYCCATTCCCAGCTGGAAGAGATGCTCGCACAAGACGCTGTGCCTCACACTGCAGTTTCCTCCCCATGGCACTGACAGCAGCATGACCATGAGGCTTTGGTGTGGTTCCCCACTAAGTACCAGGCACGGTAACCAASAGGCCCTTCCCTTGCCAAGAGGAGCCGTGGCCACACAAGAAGGTAAAACCAAAGGCAAACACAGCAAAACCCGCGGGTGGCCCCTGCTCAAAGTGGTCACCTCGAGAACATGGCCCGGCAATGCTGAAATGCCTAGGAAGGGAAGCTGCCAACCTGTCTGAGCTTAGAAACTGCCTTTGACATGYACTTTTTGGGAGCACGTGCTTGGCAGCCCTGCTGGAGATTATTTTTTTTTTACACCATCGTCCTTCAGAAGCRAATGAGATAATCTCAGGAAGGCACAACTGCTTCTGCTGCTCCTCAGTAGAAGCACATAAGGGAAATTTGATTAAAAATAGATAATAAAGGAAATACCAGTAAGCCACAGCAAAAGAACCAGCAGAAGGAAAGGGAAATGATTTCACTGAATCACCAGGTTTCAAGGCCTAATATTGTATTTTTCAGTATTAAAAACCTGCCTTCTAAATGGTGCTGGCAATTCATATACTCAATATGGGCAAAACGTGCTCCACAGCCAGCTGAAAGGAAGTTGAAACTTGAACTATATCCCTACCCTACACACATCGGGCACTAGAACAAAACCCATGTCAGTTTTAACCAGCCACAAAGTCACAACTGCATTAAGCCATAAGGTGAGGACACAGATTTCCTGCTGTCAGATGCCAGGAGTCTGGGGGTAAGTGAGAGGAAGAGTTTCTCCACAGAAACCAGCACTGGTGAGTCGGGGAAGCCGCAGAGAAGAGCACACACCATCCCCAGAAGACACTGCGTTCAGAGGAAGGGCACACGGCGTATTCGGGACTGGRCCAGCTTTATCAAAGGTGGCAGTGGGACACCTCCCTATCTACAGCAGCACCACTGAAGTCACGCAGMTGGAAGCAAATGGTGCTATCTGCACACAGCCCCTGGCGAAGGCTGGCAGCTCCAAGGACACCTCACAGCTATCCACGACAAAGGCTGTGCCTTTCGGGTCGGGGCACAACGGGCCATGAGCCCACTGATGAGGGTGCTGAGCCCCCCGATGAGGGTGCTGAGCCTCCCGATGAGGGTGCTGAGCCTCCCGATGAGGGTGCTGGTCCCTTGGGCTCAGGCTGCTGAACTTCTCCAGGCTCTCTGCAATGAAGGCACCTCCACCTGGCGCCAGCAGTGACAACCCGTATGGACATGCTTGTGTACGTGTGGCCCTGTGGGATCTTTGAGAGTGTAGTGGGTTRGATGGATATAACTGGTTATGAAAACCACTCTGGGCAAAATACCTACACCTACATAATACCTATGGATGAAGCGGACCTGGAATGAAACATGGGTGGATTTAGTTGTTCCCTCATGGCTTCCTCAACTCTCAGTCCACGAAGCAATGATACCCACAGACTCCTTGGCCACCACAGATATATTTCATAGCATGAAGCGACTTCTGGGGTTACCTTCCCAGACGTGAGACAGGGGCAGATGTCCGGCCCCCATTGCTCCAGTCTGCCCCCCATCGCTGCCAGCCGCCCCCATGGCTCCATCCAGCCCCATGGCTCCATCCAGCCCCATGGCTCCATCCAGCCCCATGGCTCCAGCCGACCCCCATCATTCCAGTGTCCCACATCGCTCCAGCCGCCCAGGCCATGCAGATGCAGGCGATCCCCGGCCCTGCGGGGCTGCGGCTCCCGGGGGCGAAGGGCGGGCACGGCCCCTCGGCGGGGCCGCCGAACAAAGCGCGGCTCCGGGGCTCCACCGCTGGGACGGGACGGGATGGGATGGGGCGGAACGAGTCGGCGGAGCTGCCGCAAGCCACGCCGGCTCCGAGCACATTCCTTCCTTCCCTCCGCGCCGGCGAACTCACCCTCCTTGGCTTTCTTCTTCCTGGCCAGGGTCCCCCCGAGCTTGCCCAGGAACGACTCCTCTTTCTTCATCCTGTGCGGCCGCAGCGTCGGGGAGCGGAGGGGCGCGGCGGACATGGGCTCTGCCGGGGACTCGCCGGGACAACCCGCCCGGCCCTGCCCGATGTTCACAGGTGGTGCTGCGGGTCCCGCGGAGCCCAATGAACTCCGGGAGCGGGGAATCACTCGCCCGAGCGAGCGGGGCCAGCCCGCGGTGCGCGCTCRGAGCCGCTCGCAGGACTGGGGGCGGGCTGAGAGCCGCCGCGGCCACAGCGCCCTGCCACGGCCGGGAAGTCCGCGGGAGGCGGGGATGGGACGAGCCTCGGACAGCCCCGGGGGGCCGGGGGCGGGCACCGAGCACGGGGAGCTGCCCGACCCCACCCGAGCATCACCTGCGGCCAGGCGGGCGAGCCCCTCCTCCAGGGCACCGGGTGCGCCGGACCCACGAGGGTGCAACAAAAGTGGGTAARGAGCATTGCAGCAAAACAACGCCCCCGGTCCCACCACAGCCAGACCAGAGTGGGGTTAGGCTTGAAAGTATATAAAGATCAAACATGGAAGAACCTCCTTCCTTAGGAACAGTTGCATATATTACACATTTTGCAACGAGTGGACACAACTGAGGGCAAAGGCTCAGCATGTGCCGTTTGTCAGGGCACGGCAATTATTCCTTGCTGGCTACATTCAAATGTGCCTCCTAATTTTGCAGCCCTGTGCCCCTTCCGTCAGACTAGCCTGCCTTTCTCCTCCTGGCACGTTGCCGGTCAGGTGTGGGAAGATCGAGAAGGGGGCCGTAGACTCTGCCAAGCCACCACCTCCCAGGTGTCCCAGCACTGCTGCTGCCATCAGCGCGGTGCGTGTGCTCAGAGATGGCCCAAAACAAACTTGGTTGTGATCCCGCAGAGAGAATTTACTGCTTATCATTTCTTACAGCAGCCGGGAGCATGATTAGGAGTTTGTAGAATACATGCTAAAAACAGGTCTTAAGGAGTTTATAGTGTTAGGCTTTGATTCTGTTTAAGCCCCTGAAGTGGTCCCATTGATTTTAACGGGACTGCTGGGTCCCTGAAGTCACGCACAACCTTTGGCTGTGCTTCTGCGAGCAGCTTCCCCGTCAGCAGCCTTTGCCCCAACAAAGAACCGCATTCAAAGCAGCACAGCTTGGCTCAGGATCTGCACACCCAGCTTATGGGACACATTTGCAGGCTTGACCTGACACAGAAGCGACACTGAAGGACACATCCAGAGCAGAACACAGCAGAGATACTTCTGAGTGTGTAGTTTCACTAGAGATTTATCCCGAGCTAATCCCCTCTGTCATGAAGACCCACTCTTCTGCCTCAGCTCCAGCTGCTCGTTGCTTTTCTACAGTCACTTTGGCAACTAAAAGAAAAACTCAACCCAACAGATAAAACCCCAAATCACCCAGCTCAAGCTTTCTGGTGTGACTGAGCACAAAGTCACCCACGGGCAAGTACCAGCAGGAGGGAAGTGGAGGGCACACATGACCAGGCTGGAAAGACTCTTTCGAATGGCAGTGCAGACTTCTCTGGACTTTATTGAAACTGCTTCTTTAGAAGAACAAATTCCAGTTCCTGCAACAAGAGTGTGTTGCCCATAGCAAAGGATTTTGATTGCAAATGAGAATTTACCAGGGGTGAGATCAATACCAGTCACAAAACCACTTTGCAAAATTAAATAATTAGCAAGGATGTCGACTGCATTCTCCTGGCAAAAGCCACATGAGACATTTTACAAGTGCAAGCTTCATTTTTAGTTCATCAATAACCTGAATTCATACAAAACCCACACATAAATGTTGATCTGCAACAGGACTAGCAGAGTGGATATTTTCATTTCACAAAATGCATACTGAAGTCCTAGATTATATTTAGCTTTAAGGCAGCATGGAAAAAGCATTTTATCCAACCCCTGGGGAAAAAGCACCATACAAATCGATCAGTACTCATACCGGATTTTTTTAATGAAATTGCAATCAGAAAATATGTGAGTACAAACTCTGTGCAAGAAAACAAACTGGTTAACAGTTTACACACACAGTCCAAATTGCAAATAAAACTTCACTGACTCCAGTAGAGCACTCAAGATGTAACCACTTAAAAGCAAGTGCCTTTTAATAATTAAAATGAAGTCACATAGATAGATCTATTCACTTCTGACTTTGATGTCCGATATGTTTATAAAGAAATGTTTCAATTTTTAGCTAAGTAGAAAAGCATTYGGCCTATTGCAAAGAAAAAGGAGGCGGGCTTGTTTGGCACAAGAGAGAGCCCATGGCAACAGAAAGGCAAATTACACTTCAAAAACAGCAACCTAAAACCTGGAGCCTTTTTAAGACACATCACAGTGGTTCAAATAGGGCTCTTTTAAACAGGAAATGAAGAGCTTCCACACTGCTTTGATCAGTGTTTAGGTGCAGTGATTTAAGGCTAATGGCCACTAACAGGGACACAGCAGCTGCTGGTGCACCAGCTCAGTGGCCTGCAGCTCAGAGGAAGCCCAGCTACRTGGTTTAAACCTTCCATAACAAATGAGATACCAGCCCTCTGCAGCCAGAAAATTCTCTGTGCTACCTTCCTCTTATTAGGGATGAGATTCCTATATATTTCTATAGGAATAGATTCAATATTCCAGTAATGAGTGTACTCATTAAGAAAACTGCCAAACCATAAACATGTCATTTTCGAGAATTACCTTGAAAAGACTAAACCTATTTTAAAATGTGTTTTTATTTTCAGCACTGAACTGTTACTTCAATATTTAGCTGAACATTTAAAAGTCTGAATTCACACTTGCTCATTTTAATATTGCTCACCTTCTTTGTCATAGAGGTGTTGTTTCCTTTATTTTAACCTCAKAGCATTTTATCCTGCTTTCAAAATTTTAGACTGAGATTACTGTAATTAGATGTAGCACAACATAACAGTGACATTGAATAGACAGTCTCTCYTTTTCAGATATTGAAGCAAGGCAAAACCCACTTTTTAAACCAGCAAGTCAATGCAATCTTATTCTAACAACACCTGTACTGACTTTCTAAGAGGAGAGAAACCTTTAAGACACAAGACACTTACAGTTTAATTCCTGGTGTGCCAGATGAATGAAAATGTGTTGGGCGTGTGACTGCTGCATTTGGATTTGTTCTGTTGTATGGGTTTTTTGTTTGGTTGGKTTTTTTTTTKGGGGGGGGGGGACAGTATTAATAATGTTTTTAATACTGAGGTAGAAATGAACCACCTAACTGATGCCACTGATTTGCTTCAGAGTGCCTTCTATTATGTATTCTATTTAACTAAAAWGCTTTTACAAAGAGCATTTATTCCATGCAGACATTAGCTCTACTGGCTGCAGACTGGATTGCAATTTTTACTTAACAAGCAAAGAAAGCACAGGATATACTCAGTACAAATTAAGGTTAAATCATCCAACAGCACTACAGATGCTGACAGCAATTTAGCACTACTGTCATAAAAACATACATCCACTATCTCAACAAGTTTGCCATGGTGGAGAAGCTGTGCAAAATTTRTCCTAAAAAAGACTCCTACTGCTGTGGCTGCAGGCTCCAGTCCTCTTGAAAACAAGACAATGATAGCAGAACAAACTGTGCTGGMCACTCAAATTCTGTAATTTTAGCATTATTTTCTTATGTTCTCCCATACAAAGTTTAGGATAATTTTCTATACATCTGACCAACTCCTTAATTACTCCACAAGGGAGTAATGGTGTTTTCTTCCCCTGTAACATCACATTAAAAATTCATACTTTTTCATGTGACTAACTGCTCACCTAGCCCAGAGAAAGGAGAGCCAACCTGACCCCTCCTCATTTTCCCTATGTTTGCTCGCATGTGGGAAAGACTTGGAATACTTCCCTCAAAGGGCACAACAGGGACAGCTGTTTCTACACAGAAGCCCAATCAGCAGGTATTTTGCAGAGGTAGGAAGCACTAAACCTTAGTTGCTACACCTCTGCCAAGCTGGGAGCAAGATTTGTGCTAAAAAGGCACAGAGTGACAGCAAAGGTACTTACATTGAAACACGCTTCCATATTATTGAGGTGAGCACGGTAATTTATYTGTAAAGCTTGTTATTTTTAAATCAATACAGTTATGTTCTTAATATGGCAGCAAACCTGCCCCTTATGTTCTCACAACCTCTCAGTTTCCTCCTTCACCTTCCCCTAAGTCCCCTAGAAACTTACTCATTACCAGTACCTGATACCATTAGATCTTCCAAATAAAAAGAGCAATTCCAACTTTTTTATGTAGGCAGAGCAACTGGAAACCAGCCACTGTCTTTGAAGTGGTGTGGAAACATTGGCCATGCTTCTGACACACTACTGCCATCATCTCGCAGATCCTCAGGTGCCCTGACACACCACTGAGACCCTTCAAACCTTGTCCCCAAACACAGTCCTCTCCTCCCCAGCCCCCCTCAGCCCCCAGAAAGGGCTGCAAGCAGTGAAGTAACATCACAGCCGAAGGGACTCTGTGAGCCTGGCAGTACCTTACCGCCTCAGCACTGCTCACATGAAATCAGGAGTCCATGAGCACGTTCAGGTRTGCTGTGTTGAGGCACTCCTTGTCACCTTACTGTCCCTAACAGTGGCATGCCTGAATAGCATCTTTACTCCACAGGTAAACTGATATCCAAAATGCCCATTTAAACCAACACCATGCTTTTGAATCACAGTTATGACTGCAGGCCTTACTCCTTTCACCAGCAACTCTAGCCAGAAACACAATCACTAAAAACATCTACTGGAATTCTGATTATTGCCTTAACTATTTTAAGTATCTCTTTTGGGGTCTTCGCAGCAAATTTTAAAGGGAACTATAATAATCATATCAATATTCCATAGAAACAAGMACATAACCGAGATGCTTCTTCCAGAGGAGTTCAGAAATACTGTCTATACTGGATAGCTTCTGGGCACTTGCAGTACGCCATAAGAAAATGTTACTTTTCAATCTAGTGCAGTTTCCTAGGAGGAAAACAGTGACCCAGGTAAAGGTCATAGAACATGATTTTGCTCCGTTTTTCCTACTGGACAATTCCTTGGTGAGTGGCAYAGTGTGTCAGAGTATGTCTTCAAAAGTTGTCTTCAGCCTCCAGCAGTTTCTTCCACTCCTCCCTTGTTTCTCATAGAGGTAAGAGCTCTCTCAAAGCTTAATTGTGGACTGGCTGCTGCACAGTGTGCACACTGAATTTGGGGTTCTTTCCCTATGCCTGCTCAGCTCAGGACGTGGCTGAGCCCTCTCAAACAGSCAGCTGAGCTTGGGGCTCCTGTGTCACATGAAAGTACTGCATTTGAGCAGCTGTGAGTAAAACACAGTGYACAAAATAGAACTCTTAAGGCAATACAACTAACTTTGAACTCCTARGAGAAAACCCTAACAGTATTTTAGTATCTAAACAGTCACATTAKAAGTATTTATATATGTCAAAATATCGACAGTGCTGGAAAAAACTAACAACATTTGTTGACATTCTTAACATAGTTTCATATTTTATCTCATAACAACAAAAAAATCATCAAAAATTCTTGTTTAAATATGTACCTGCTRCCATATGTTAGATAAACACACTGAAAAAGTTTTTTTATATAAAAAATTTTTGTTATTTGAAACAGAACTGACTTTTGTCATTCACACCATTTGAACCATAAGYCTATTGCTGCTACCTAATGAGGAGGGAAAGATGTTTAGTTAAGAACTCTGCAAATCTATGTAGTCCAGTTTCTGCCTTYATATTTCAGAGAATTATCAACTAAACCAGATTTTATTACTGTATTACAACAGCAGCAATACATACCAATGCTAAAGCAATGTATAAAACTGTGTTCTCTTTAAAAAGAGTGGAGTCTGAGTGCTGACTTCACTGGGAACAAGCTTTCATGGCAGTCCTGACAATATTCAGCAAAGTCAAGTAGTGCACCAGTACATCCAAAGCTGTGTCCTTAGCTGAGCAGAAGCAAATCAAGAGTGTAACAGCTTGTGTCTTTCTGTTCTGCTCTCCCTGAAACTTCTTTGTATTGGGATTTTAAATCTGCCAACACTTAGTAACAAAAAAATGTAAATGYAGATGCAGGGGAAGTGCACTCCAAGTTCAGATTCTCTTAGCATGACGACTCAGGATTRATACATACTAAAAAAATCAGTACGCAACTGCCTCCAAAGATGAGTTGTTAGGACCTCAGTAATGAATTCATCCACCCTTATGAACTGGAATATACACCAGGTGATAAAGCCAGAGGTGACCTGAAAGTGAAATTAGCATCTCAACAAGTCAGTAGAGAGACACAAAGGGAAAAYCAAGTAGTTCCACATGCTCACATGCCCAGAGTCCCTTTCTGCAACTGCTACAAAAAGCTGTCTTTGCAAAGCATAAATAAATGCTTTGCTGAGAGCATTAAAACATTCAGARTTCAGAGCCACGAACCTTTTAAAATTATAATTTTAGTATTTACTATGCTAGACAGATGCCTTTAATTTTTACAGTATACAATTCAGATTGTAGGAGGCATTTAAACAGAGGTGATTTACAATAGTGCAATATATTTGAATCAGAACATTTTGATTCATGTAGAACCATTAAAATGGTACAATTTTTGACTGTTAGTGGCTTTTGGAGGGTCTTCTGCTCACAGAAGATGGAGAAAAACTGCTACCCCTTACTTTGCATTCCAACCATACTCCTACTCAAGTCATCCCAACTCGTGAAACCTGTGGTTGGAAGAGGGAAGRCTGTGCAAGACAGTAACAACTCTAATGATATGAACCATATCCAASAGCCAATATCTGACATAACACTAATATTTCAACTAAAAACCAATAACTACAAGCTGTAAGACAGACTCCTAAAAACACTCTCCTATCTTTGATAAGAATCAGAGATACAATGAACCTTTAAAGCATAATTATTTAATGTTTCTTGTGRAGTCCAAGAGGTAAATCACTCAGCTGTGTATCTGCATTTCAAGGAAAAAAAGTTAGACCATTTTGAAATATGTTATAGTCTTGATTTCATCTCCAGAGCACAGTTTCATTTAGTGATGTAAAATATTTCTGTATTATAGAAATCTTATTCCCGCTCCGAACTGAATACCATCACATATCCTGAAAAGAAACAAATAACAAATTGTGTAAGTGATGTATAAGGTACTGATGAAATTCAAATCAATTYCCCCATCCCCAAATTCCCAAGGTTTTAGCCAACAAAGGCATTTTTAAATACATGTTTTGACAACCTGTCATCCATATGTAGTATTTACATTTCCAAATAAAGCCCATAATTTTGAAATTGCTATTATTCATTCACACTGCCCATTAACAGTAAGTAGAAACATAATCCAGCTCCTTCATGAAATACAGAATATCTCACACAATACTCACAGACAAGAACAGGCCTCCTGAAGCTTTTTTATTGCATACTATAATATTTGCTTGAAGTAGGATAATTGGCAAAGAACAAATGAATTTGTTCTTTTCTCTTTATCTATAAACGTGTTTTCATTTTTCAAGCAAACACATTAGGTATTTATGAAAGACACTAAATTAGGTATTTATCCAATTATTTGAGTTTACAAGGCTTAAGAAAATCCCATGAGCCATTTGAGTAATCATTTCCCCACAAGAAATGAAGCTGCTACACAGCTGTTCACACATTTCAACAGCTGATCTCAAATTTAATGAACTCTGACACTTAAGCATAGTCTTAACCCAGCCATGAAATCAAGGTGAATAAAGCAGATTGAAACAGCGGCACGGAGATGGCTATGCTGGTATGAAATGAACAATTTTGACCCACAAAACAAAGGCAGAATTCTCTCTGACAAAGCAGACAGGAGTGCAGGACCCTCTAAAGAAGCTGATATAGCAAACCAACCTGTCTCCAGCCTGTACTCCCATGGGGAAGCAGTAGTTGAGTTCCAACCTGGCGATGTTTCCCAGGCGGAGCACTATTCCGGCACCGTASGACCATCGGATGCACTCTGCCAGCCTCTGCAGGTGCGCCCTGGGACCGTCACCTGGAGCCAAACAAGTGATGAGCAACAAAGCAAGAGAGCAGAACTAGAACAAAATTACAACCAAACAACTRTGATTTTTGTTGGATTGTCAGCTGGTCTCTATGTCCCACTATAGAGCACCTACTAGCAAGGAGGAAATAAGTACTGAAGACGCCAACATCTTTACCACTYCCTTCCAGTACCTGAAGGGAGCCCACAGGAAAGATGGAGAGAGACTCTTGMCAAGGGCCTGGAGTGACAGGACAAGGGGGAATGGCTTCACACTGACAGGGAGGAGGTTCAGATTGGATATTAGAAGGAAATTCTTCCCTGTGAGGGTGGGGAGGCCCTGGCATAATATGCCCTGAGAAGCTATGGCTGCCCCATCCCTGGAAKTGTCCAAGGCCARGCTGGACGGGGCTGGGAGCAACCTGGGGTAGTGGAAGRTGTCCCTGCCCATGGCAGTGGGGAGCACAAGATGAGCTTTAAGAYTCCTTCCAAACCATTCTGGGATTCTATTCTATAATTTAGTGGGTCTCTATTATTTTAAAGTTGATTGAAGTATCTCCCTCCAATACAGATGTCATCAAGTGAGGCAGACATYAAATATTTCTATATTCTAAAACTGACTGAAATCAAATTGAAAAGTCCTACATTAATGCACTGAAATGTATCTTGAATAAAGTTATGGATGGGAGGAAAAAAAGGTCACATCAGATACCACAGTCTCACCTAATGCCACCACTTTTTCTTTAATTGATCCCAGTAAACACCAGAACCCCATAAAATTATCATCTTTTCATTCTCCTTTTAGAATGGTGTGAGATAGCAAGTGTTACTTACACAATGGTCTGCAAACATCACCAGTTCACYGACACTACCCTTACTATCTGGGCTCTCTTTTTCTACACGTTGTGCTAGAATTTATGGCGAGAGTTGAATAAACTACTGGCAATCTGTCAAATATATAGGTTAAAAGCAGCAGTTTTTTTGACAGGCTCCAAAATACATTTAGTAAACAAACTGTTCTGAGTGAACAGACACAGAACAGTTCTTCTTTTTGCTTTTATATGAAGAGTGKTTTTTTATTCTATTGAGCCTTACCATAATTGAGGTTGCAGAGGTTTCCAGCATTAAGGAAGAAGTGTGTTCGGAAAAGATCTCCAAACCCTCCCCGGCCTGGTCGGAAAGGGAGAGGAGTGTAGAGATGCACCCCTCCAGCCCAGTAGGCTTCTCCTCCCAAGTAATCACCTGTTTGGGCAAAATGTCAGAATAAAGGCATTTACTGTGGAACATATTAAAAGAATCAGTTGTTAAAGGTACAAAAACACATCCATAAGTTGTTTTAAGTTCCACTTCTACCCTTTACAACTCTTCTCATTTACTTCTAACTCTCTCCAAACTCACCACTATTAGTTTAAAAAATGAGCACTTACACAATTCTTTAAACCTTCCAAGGGAAGTGCATTTTCCTTCATTCCCTCACCAGAACAGCCTCAGGCATGCACCTACTGGTGGCAGTTCATCAGAATTACCTCCTGAACACCTCTGCAATACTTTTCTTGGTTTAAAAAATGGGAAACTGATACAAATAAACAATTAACTTCAAAATATGCTGGATATTGAATCCACTGATAACAGCAAGTCAGTCAGCAGCAGAGTAAGGAATAGAACTGAGGAAGCTCCTGGCTTTCCAAACACCTCTGTTGAGCAGATTACTTTTCCTCTAAGCCAACTGAACATAGGCTGTATCAAACAGAGGCTGTTGCTATAATCATGTTTTGGGAACTTTTCCAGCTTGAAGGTTGCTTCCTAATTAAAACAACACACTGGAAGTATGCAAGTCTGAGCACACACATGGTTTACAAAATTAGCAATTAYTCATAGCTCAACTAAGAACTACCTGGCTTTATCCCATTGTGAACTAATCTGTAACAACTGATCAAAGCCATAACACTTCCCAAAGTGCAGAATGAGTGTAATTATTTTCAGGTTATACAAAGCTTAAGGACAAAATGTGTCTCTCTGTTACACACTAATATTTACAGTATTGTCACACGAGTGGGATTTAAAAGGTTCAAACCTTCACTCTGGGGTCCAATGCTGTACATACTGAATCCACGCACACTTGTTGGTCCACCAAGGTAAAACCTAATGAATACAGATACATTTCATTTAATGCTTCACTTGAAGGTAACTTTGTTACAGGTTTACTAATGTGATTTTTAATCACCTGCATTAGGAGGCAAAATTACTACAGAACGAACAGAGTCACAATATGGCTTTGTGTCTAAATAAACCAATGCTTGCTATAGAATTTTGCAGATGGAAATACCATTTTGCAGCCATAAATATGGGCAGGCGGAGCTACTACACAGCAAATTATAAATTTATACTAGYCAAATATGAAAATGGCTTGAGTACGAACATGCAATTACAGCTAACTAGAAAGATTTTATTCTCCTCATACCTACCACTATTTCTCTCTTGTGCAGTTTTCTATATACATTAACTGTAGATACATTACTGGAAAAAGCACCCAAACATTTTAAGAACTTGCCTGTCAGCTATACTGGATGGCTTGTCTCCAATAGGTACCAGCATGCCACCCCAAAGTGATGCAGAAATAACCTTTGGAGAGAAAAATAAGTTGTTCATTTGTACTTATTTCTTTAATTCCCTGATAGTATGAGCTATTCATCACTCAGTAACAGGGTGAGCTCCCATCAGTCTCACATAGTTACAGCTGCTCACAGTGTAATGGGCATGGATATCACACCCTGTGTGTCGGATTTTCRGGAAACACTTGATGGCTGCTGCCCTCTTTCTTTTATGCAGTGCTGTGCCTTGAAAAAGTCAATATAGCACAGTGGGACCAAATGCTACTTCCACAACAGCTTAAGGGAGTTCTCAACCTCATCCAGCACCTATTGTCTTGTGAATTTTCCTGTATTAAAGTAAGACAATRCTGCTGACATAAATTGTTCCTGACAATTTGAAACCCCCAACAGAGTAAGTCCACACATCAGCTGCCAAAAATGTACAGTTATTACCTGTCTGTAAATTAACCTAATATTTAAATGAAACCACCTTCTGCAACTCACTATGCTGACATCAAATAAACATACTTAGTTACTCTTTATCCATAAAAARTAGTTCTTGTGACTCAAATCACTGTAACAAATACATTTAATCATGTAATACATACAATAATTTGCTTACTGCCTGGGTGCCAGGTAGAAGTACTACTGCCAGACAGTGAGATCTACTGTCAATATCTTTGGGATGCGAATTATTGTAACCCATGATTTTTAAATCTTCATTCTACGAGTTGCTGTTTAATTCCCCATTCAGCTATGGGAAGAATTTTTTGCACTATCTCCATGTGATAAAAWTTTTTTTTCTAAATACAGATAGAAATATTCCTGGGATTTACTGAAATTCTTATTTCAGTTTTTCAAGGTATCAATTCAAAACCCTAATTCCACCTAATGCTAAGTCAATGCTGTTGAAATCAGTCTTCCCATTTTTTCCAATAATTTCACAYACAATAAATAATTACATGCTATGATACAAAAATTAATAGTTATATATTAGTAATTTCAATTAAAAGGACAAAGATTATTCAGAATGTTCACGAAGTTTTCAAAATTTTTCAAGTTTTTCAAAAGCTTCAGAGGTTTTTGAAAAATCCCTCCTAAGAAAGACCACAAAGAACAGACACAACCAACATCACTTCTGGACGGAAAATCATTCTTATGGTTAATCGTGAAACAAGTTCTCTCCAAAATTCGCAGTTTTCAAGTGATTGTGCACAGCAGGAACATAAAAGTTAAAAATAAAGATAGTCTATTTTCCAAAAAAAAAAATCAAGCTTTCTACTCCAGCCATTTTTCATGACCTTTTTGCTAATTCAGGTGAAAAAGAATCTTAAGACATACACTCAATAGCCCCAGATACACCTTACATGAATAACTAAAATATCTTTTAAAAAATTACCGAATCCCAGAGAAGTTGCTTATTCAACTGAATTTCAAAATCCTCTTTCAGAAAGTTCACATCTCCACCTGTATATCCAGCCAGTTCCTGTAAAGACATAAATTTATCAAAGTTGCAATAGATATTACATGTTTCCTTCCTCTCAAAGTTCAGCATGCCTGCATCAGCACAGATAGTGCTTTTCTTTACAAGACATACAGAAACCCTTAGCATGGCAAGGCAACTGAATTTTGGACCAAGGCATGCATGAACCTCAAAATAATGAGCTGCATTTTTTATCTCCTACTATTAAACCAAACTATTGCTTTCTAAACCATTTTGAACACAGAATAGAATGGAGCTGGAAAATTCAGCATCCTAAACCAAGACTGCTACTATATTTCCCTAGATCTGAGTTCTCATGTGCTGAAGAACCAGACAGCTGCATGATACAACTTGTTATTTTCAGCTCTCATTGCATGGACTGAACTGACTCAGAGATAGGATCTAACAAATGACACATTACCTAAACCTTGAATTACAACCACCTTTCTCACTCACAACAGTTCACTGCTGCTTACAGCAGCACTTTTAGTTCCAATGGCAATTCAAATCTGCCTCTAAAGCACTGCAGAAATTAATGGTTCTGAAGTATTACCCATATGGCAGGAAAGCCAGCTTCTAGAAAGGCTCTGACTGTAACAAGAGGGAAAATCATTTTCTGTGCCAAAATGAAAACATGCATATGCCTTAGAGAGTTATTTTGACCCTGTTTTTCATTTTCAATTCTCATATTTACAGATTTTATAAATAGCAACAGGACTACAGCCTGGCAATTTGTGCCTGACAGTGTTAAATTAATTAGTAATTAATACCTATTGGATACTACTGGAAGTGTAGTGTAAATACTGCCAGGGATAGTGTCTCTCAGATAATAAATAATTTAAGGCTGATGGAGAGGCTGTACTCTTTTGACCAATGGCATACAAATGAAAATCTGCCACCATAAGACAAGTTTCATGATTTTAAAAGGCATGCTTAGTAAACAGAAAATGTAATTACCAGTCCTCATTGTCTCCTACTCAATTTAAGATTAATTTCTAATTTTAAACATTTTTAACATGAACATCAGTTAGATAAAATAAGACTTACTCAAACACACAGAAGGACCTCAAAAATTAGTTCAAGTGATTTAGAGYTACCTGATTAATTTTCAGCAAAGCACCTCGTTTTGGCAAGATTGACGAGTTCCGRGAATCAATTACCATGGCATGCTGTAAAGAATAAAAAGATTTGGTTTAGGTTCTCATGTGTTGAATACTCAGAAAGACACTACTGTTGTCCTTCAAAAAATGCAACCAATGGAAGACAACCACAGCTCCAGCTGGGATTACTGTAGCTTCATAGATTTGGGAACAGTACACTCACAGGCCAGCTTTGTTTGACATTTACAGGCCACATAAAATGCAGACATTTCTATCTTCTGCTCATGGCATGCACCAGAAACAGAGCAGCAGCCCAATCGTAAACCACCAACTTTGTGACAGCAATTTGCAAACAGTTTATCACCTACAATTTGTACATTACAAGTGAAAGATGGCAAGTGACCAGAAACTGGTATAGGGGAGAATGTTTAAAAAGGCACGGCAGCYTAGGATGAGGAAGTTTCCTCTTCCTGTCTGCTACAAGGCAATTCTGCAAAAACAGATGGCAGATGAGACTGATRAGAATAAGCCTCAGTCCCACAGTCAACTATGATTCCCTGTTCTCCCTTTGGGCCTCCTGGATTACTATGTGGCAATGACCAAACACAGCAAAAGATGTCTGAAGGAAAACATCTTCCCTCCAAAGACAAAAAGCTCCTTTGGTATCACTCATAAGTATGAGATGACTCAAAGCAATGTGTTTTTAAAAAATGATCAGGAAAAAGCCTTACAGAAAGAGAAGATTTYAGAGAGTGTCCACTTTCTTCTCGAACAGAAAAGGATGCTGTTCTAGCAAGGCAGCCAAGCTCTCTCCAAACACCCTCCCACTTCAGTGTGTGATTGGTCTTCCAGACAGGAAACTACAATAAAGAATTGAGTAAGACATGAAAACAATTGTTGCAAAATTAAAACAAATATTTTTTATACTTGATTCTATGGCTTTCTTCCCAAAATTCTTGAAACAGAGAGAAACCGTTTTCCACTTCAGATTAATGCTAATTCTGCTCCAGCCAAAGGAGTTAGATGCACAATACTTAATTCATTCCACATGAAAAATATTTCCAATTGGGCTGATGCAGTAAGCTACGCAACCAGCTCCCTCTCAAAAATGACAATTAAAAGAAAAAATGGAACAAAAACATATTGGCAATTTTATATAGCCAAGATGTAAAACCTCTGTCATTTTCAATCACTGACCTCTTTCAAATAATGACAAGTCAGCCCCGTGCAAAAGTGATTCCATCATTAAAAAAAGTAAGCTAAAGATTTGCAAGAGCTCTGTAACCCAACTGAAATGTAAATGAAGCATGTGTTACTCTTGTGCTACACTCACATTAAATTCTAACGATACTCCTCTGTCGGTTTCCCGAAGAGAGCTCCAAGGGAACTGTCCAGTTACTTTGTACACATTAACTGAAAAACTGAAACACAACATTAATGGCAGGTTTGAAAGSGAAACTATTTCAGGCTGAGTTTTCAATCATCACAAAAACTCCAGAAACCAACTCTGCTACATCATTACCAAACCCTCCCAAGAAAGGAATAAATGCAATTATTACTCAAATGAAAGATCTTATTGTTTTCTATTCCTTCACTGAAAAAAAAAAGAARCAATCAAAATTGCATTCCCTACTTTCTTTCAAAGTTTCCAGGTCGCGGTTTGAAAAAGGACAGTCCATATGAAGTTTCCTTTGTTCCATAGGAGAACTGGAAGGTCACCTTTTCTGCACGTCCAAAGAGATTTGGGAACTTGAGCCCAAGTACCTACAGAAAACAAACAAAAAAAAAAATACAAGACAAACAAACAAAAAGCTCCCGCACATCATAACAATTCATATAGTTGGCTGTCTTGTACYTTAATCATATGCTGAAGACAAGAACATCATGAGAATTAGAAGTAAGACAACTAAAAATACTTGTAACTGGATGGGTTTTCTTCTCAGTTTTCTCTTTGCACTGGCAGCAAAAGCCAACAGTGCAAGTTACAATCCAGCATCCAACTTTTATTGCTGTTTGGTATTGCTGACTTAATCTGCACTCTCACTGGACCATCAGTACTGATGTTATTTCAAMCAAAATCTCCAAGCCTGTCTCAAAGCCCTGGGGAACAAGTCTGTGGCACAAGCAGCTGCTCTGCAATTGCATTCTCCCAATGATGCTCAGGAAAAATACCTGTTAGGTAGGGTTCATCAGAACCAAAATCAAGGGAAAATTATCACTGGAGCCACTTCCCTGTAGTTTTGTTTTGAGTAACAAGATCCTTTTTCAACAGACAAGATGGCAGCACAAGACACCTCTACAATTTTCCAGAAACCAGTGAAACACTTTGTCTATTCTGACACCAATTCCATGCATCAATCAGGCAGCTCTTGGCCCTTTGGCAGAAAAGATGGAGCAGGTTTTCTCCTAACACAGACACTACCACTGTACTGTTGTTGTATGTTCTACTGGAAAGGAATACTAAAAAGCTCCCAAATCCTGACTGCCTTTGTCTGACAGCTAATGGAAGCAAATCAGTACCCCGAACTTTGTAATGATGGCTACTATGCCATAAATAGAAAAGGCTTTTAATATGAAGTATTAGATGTATAAACTTCAGATGACTTTAAGCGATTAGAATAAATGTCAAATCTATTCAACTCTTAAGGATGCAAGATCTGTGTTGCCAATATCAGGTACACAAGTCATGCTTTCACAGCATTCACAAGTTTTATTTCTCTGTAATAAGCTAAAATCAAATMGAAGACAGAGCTGAGCACAAAAAGAGGAAACYAAAGTAGCTTCCARTCASTTTTGAGCAGCACTGGAACCAACAGGTAGCATTTCCCTGCTTGCTTCCAGGACACAACACCCTGGACCTGGGTCCTGGCAGTGGAGATGCATAAGCAGCTCTCAACTCACCCAGTTCCAATTCTCCTTGCACATGCAAAACACCACCACCTGAGTCATGCGGGATCTTATTCAGGTTAAAAATACCCCTAAGAAGAAAAGGATGAGTCCCTTGATCTGGCTTATCTATCAGCCTCAGGCACAGCTGCCCTGTGCAAGTGAGAAGGCAGAAAGACTGCAGGCTGAGAACCTGAAAGCACAATCTGCTCACACYAGCACTTTTGGTAAAAGCACATTCACAGACCAGCAGTACAGGTGATACTTCCTGTGTCAACTGCTAATTATTTTACAAACAAAGATTTTAATCTGATGCATCCTTAATTGAATAATACGAACACAAGTTCCAAAGCTTATATAATTCACGAAAACACTACAGCCCAGAATAACTGATACTGGGCTAAAATAGAGAAAAACAAGAACAATTTCTAAGTCAAATATAAAGCATTTTGACTAAGAAAAATACTTCATCTCATAGAAACTAAAAGCCAAATTCAATTCTAATCTCCCCAGTACATAAAACATCTTAAATATTACCATGAAATACCCAAGGAGTTTCAGTAATTAAAAAACTAACATGCTGAGTTGGAAGCTAGCTCTCTCCTAGCTCAAAATAGGCTTTTGCTGAATGAAAGCCTGACACAAAGGCCTGAAAAAGTAAGGCTGGATCAAGATAAGATCACCAAATTCCATGCTAGGTTTGAAATTGAAAATAAAAGGAATATCAAGACATTACCAATAATTTGAAACAATCCATACCATGCTGCCTTCATTGTTGCCAACCATAGTGTTATAGCTTCCAGTCAACCTTCTCAATTCTGTTACCTCAAAGGTCACATCTAAACCATTTGGAAGGGCATCATCTCCTACAGAAACAAAGTGTGTGTTATCACTAAAGATTTATATTAAAAATTGCAGACAGAAGATTACGGGAATTATTTGAAAACTGTTTTTAGTTAAAGCATAAYAAAAGTCCACATTACAAAGTGAAATGGCCTGAGAAAAAGATGTTTGGATGTGAGTGCAGAATTTGGTATGATCATAGGATGACTGATGGCTTTAAGGCAATTAAAGATGATTAAATGGCTTTAATAATTTCATGTCAATGTGATGTGTAGTACATGGAACTACAGGAAACATCTTCAAGCTTTCCCTCATGTGTTCCTTGAAATTGTGGATTAAGGAGTGTTTAYTGTAATCATTTTAGTGCTGAAAATTAATTCATGGACAAGTAACAAATACACTTATATGAACATATATATATATGCAAACATGTGAAAGTTGATCTTCTTAAGAAGAACTGATGTAGACACATACATTTGTATCCACAACAYACCCATGTGTTCATCTAAAATATATAAAGGTATATACAAGAGTAGGTGACATACACAAAAAATGTCTATTWCAGAGGGAAATATACATTCCAGGTATGAATGTATGAKAAAAAAAGGTGAGGATCAATGTGGGAATACACACCTTGGCAGGTATCAATCAGAACATCCACCTGTCTAAAGATTCCAAGCCGAAGCAACTTCTCACGAGCTTCATGTGATTTTCTCATCACCTACAGGATGAGAAAAGTAGCTCAGTCACTGAATCACAGGATAGTCTGGSTTGGAAGGGACCTTCAACATCATCTAGTCAATTTGAATCTTTCAGGTTAAGAAAAAATAACAAGGATAAATTAGTGAAAATGCAGCTAAATTGGAAAATATTCATAGACTTTGTAYATAAAGATACATACGTACACCTTCAAAACAGAACACAACCACTTTAACACCTGCATCTGTAGAAATAAATTAAACCCAAAGCATCTGGCTCAATACCTTCATACCTTTTGTTAGTTTGCTTCCTAATTAACTTCGTCGTTTAAACAATATTCAAATAGGTTCCAGTATTTACAACTTATTTAGGGGGCCTCTGTTCTTGGCAAAACTTGACAAGAGTTGCCCCATGTCTGAAGGGAGTGGCCCAAAGCAGGAAAAAGAGAAAAATCTTTGATTAATTTTTAAACAGCAGATATTCACAGCRACACTTACATCAATGAGATTTTTAGCCTGGAAAACATCAGCGATTTCATACATGATGATGTCATCTTTGGTCCTTCCAAGTCCTTCGAAATGCACATGCTGAACCACCACCTAAACACAACAAATACTTACACACAAATACTGAATTTGCATCTAATAATGAGTATCAAGTCACCAATGCACTAAAATTATTGCTGTCGAAGTGAGAAACCCTGATGATTCCTAGGGCTAATTCCTGCTAACCTACATTATCAGAAATCAGCACTATCTATGATTCTGGGACGTTACTCCCATAACACAAAAACAAAAGAAAAGAAAAGTCTAACACCAAAGCTAAAACTGCTTGTAGTAGAAGAGAAACTGATGGACTGCAGCTGCTGTGATTTTAGTARTAAATGTTGTATAGACAAATAAGCAACTGCAGAAATCACACAAGTATTAAATACATAAGAGAGAATATGTAATTAGTTGTAGTTGTTTGCTACTTCTTGTATCAGGTACACATATGCAAAGAATTAAAAGAAAAAAATCAAACAACAAATGTACAAGCCACAAATATTTAAACTATTAAAATCATCACAATCACAGCAGCAGTGCAGTTTAAAATGCAGATGAAGATCACTACCATTATGAGGTTTTAYATTTTCATTTTGATATATAATTGTAAAAGGCAATTTTACTGTAAAAAMCACAGTACACTCCATGCTACCTGGTACAAACTGACTTCAGTAATTGCATTTCCCRTATTTTTCCAATCTCCTCAGCAAATTATAATTTTATGGGTAAATGTGAAAAAAATGTGCTTCAAAGAGTTGTCAAGGATTGTAACAGGCTACCCAGGCAATTTGATTGTTCTGAGGTGTTTTTTTTAAGAATTACTATGAAGCTTGAAAGATGGAAGGACTTGAAAGTGGTGGAGTCACCACTCCTTTAGGGATTAAAAACCATAGGGATGGGGCACTTGGGARATGGTTTAGTGATGAACTTGGCAGTGCTGGGTTAACAGTTAAGATTCCTTGATCTTAGAGGTCTTTTCCAATCTAAACAATTCAATGATTTTATACTATAGTTTGTAAAAGAGACTATGTAGATTATACTATCTGTATCATACATATATGTATGACACTTTGTATTCAYGTATAATAAAACAGAAAAATAACAGAAACCTAGTATTACTGCAAATTGATTAAAAAACCCTATCAGCATATGCCCATAACGAATTAGATAAAAACCAATCTTTATTAACAACCTTTAAGTGAGGATGACTGAATAACAGAAAGGAAAATTTTAATAAAAACTAAGATAACATGGTAACTCAGCCCTCTGGCATGTCTAAAGGTATTATGGGCCAAGACATACACATTCTTGCATGTAAATTATGTATCAAWAAAGTGACCATGCTTTGCTGGAGTCAGTATTTCCCTCAGTAACATAACTGAYGTGCTGGCACTTTCCCCTAACCTGGCTAATGCTGCACTTCAGCAGGTCAATGACAGGTGCTTATTCCTCAGCAGAAGTGGAAATCTCATATGAGAGAGAGAACAGCAGCAATCAGCAAACAGGTTTATTAGCTCAAAGCTGCATTTTCATAACAATTCCTGGAGTAGGGATAAAAGAACAGACACCAGATAGCAGGAGGCGAAACTCACAGTAATAAATGTAATTCTTTCACATCTCAAATCATAGCTTAGGAAGTTGCCTTAGGTAAAACAAGGAAGAAGGGGTGCCAAGACTTTATTTCTCTCCACAAAAAAAAATCAGGATGTTGTTCGGGCACTTACATCTTTGTTTTCAAGAATTTCCTGCTTGGTCTCAGGTTCAACTTCAACCAGTTCAGCTTCCTCTCCCAAGGCACCAAAGTTTGGCCCAGGCATAGGAAGAGGCTCCAAACTCTGAAAGCATAAAAGAAAACTGCATTTAATAGGGTCATGGATGTGTGATTTATGCCTTTTGTAAACGAGAAAACCTCAAGGATCTTGACAGTGTGTTCATCAAATCCTATGGGGGGGAAAGCAAAAGAGAAGAACTAAAATGAAAGGAATTACAGAACACTTGACACCTACCTGCTTGCTGAAATTTGTAATGAAAGCTATATAGCTTCAACATTGAAGGATTCCTGAAAAATACTCTGCATTCTTCAGAAAAATTGCCTTAAGACCTTACCAAGCTTCCTATGGTAAAAGATTAATTTCACCTTTTAAAAAAATCTTTAAAAATCAGGCWATCACTTCTTTAGTTTGGGTTTTTGGAGGCAAAAGAGTATGAATGTCAAACAATAAAATAAAAAGAGTGTTCTCAGCTTGTTTGCCTTTGTATGTATTTATTTGCCTTTATATTTCAATATTTCTTTAAGAAGTAATCTCTCAAATAAGGCTCAAGAAGCTCAGGCTCTGAGCATCAGAACCAAATATTTTAATCAAAATGGTTTTCAGCACAGCATGGCTTTATTTATTATATCTGAAAGAGACTTAAAATTAGAGTTATCAGAATAGCAGTTTTCCTGAAAAGTAAATTGCTGTTGCATATCAAACTCCAGTTAAAGGAAGACTGAAGCTTTTCTCACTGTCATGATTGTCAGGAAAGTGTGAAACACTCTGTATCCACCCAATATTGTCTAGCAGTTCATACCACAGATGAACACAAAACAGTCAAAATTCTGAAACAGAGATTACATTAGTCACAGCAATTATATACTCTGGAACCTTAACTGGAGCCAGCTCCCTGCAGCTGTTCTTTGGCCTTAAAACTGAACACTTAAACCTTTATGTTTCTTTGTCAAGCACTGATAGATGAATTTGGAGATTTGCACAACTGTTCATGATCATTTCAGGCATGTGAGGCCCCACAGCCCTCTCCAAGCAATGCAATTCTCCAGCCGCCACTTCTCAGCAGGGGCAGCTTCTCTTTGCATTATAGTTTTTAGTGTGATTGGGTTTTTATTTAGTTCTGTTTGGGAAGTTTTTTTTCTGTTTTCATTTCCCCAGCCCAGTTCTTGGCAAGCCATCCCCGTGGGGAGGTTAGCTTCGGAAAAGATAGGAAGAAAATCCAGGYTTTCCAKAGGAAGTATAATTTACTTAGTAAGRAATTTTTCTTTCTTGTGAGGGTGGTGAGGCTCTRGCACAGATTGTGGCCTCTCTGGCCGGAGAATCTGAGGCTACCCCACGCCTGGAAATGTTSACGGCCAGACTGGGTGAGGATCTGAGCAACCTGRGACAGCAGARGGTGTCCCTGSGCAYGGCACGGGGGCCGTGTGCCCAGATGATCTTGAAGGTCCCATCCAAGCCCTCAGAATCTATGACTCTATGAAAAAGACCCAGAAACGAGCTGGGAAAGGAAGGCGCCTCCGAGCACCGTGACAGGCTCCGACCACTTGTCCCGCCCCACCCCGGCAGGACGGCGGTGCTTGGCCGCGCGGTGCCGGGAGCGCCGTTCTCTGAGACGGGACACGGCCCTCGCTCGGGCCGGCCCGAAGGTCGCCGCGGGGTGTGCGCGGCCGGTGCGACCTTCGGGCGGCCCCGGGGCGGGTGCCCGGGCCCCTCCCCCGGCGGATCCCGCCCCGGCGGATCCCCCCGGCCCCGGCGCTCACCCGGGCGTGTACGGTGCCCATGGCGGCGGCGGCGGCGGCGCGAGGCGGGCTCGGCGCTTCCGGGGCTGAGAGCGCTCAGGGCCGCAGAGCGGGGGCGGCCATGACAGGGGCACCCCCGGCACCCATTGGCCGGGCCGGCGGAAGGGGCGGGGCCTGGGGGCGCTTCCTGCGAGCGAGGGGAACCGGGAGTGAGCGGGGGACACAGGATGGGGGGAGCTCACATCAAACTCACGGGCAGCGCTCTGACGCACGGGATTCACCCCAAACTCAACTCACGGGCATCGCTCAGACACACGGGATTCACCCCAAACCCACGGGATTCACCTCAAACTCAACTCACGGGCATCGCTCAGACACACGGGATTCACCCCAAACCCACGGGATTCACCCCAAACTCACGGGATTCACCCCAAACCCACGGGATTCACCCCAAACTCACGGGATTCACCCCAAACTCACGGGATTCACCCCAAACCCACGGCATTCACCCCAAACTCACGGGATTCACCCCAAACTCAGGGGCATCGCTCAGACACACGGGATTCACCCCAAACCCACGGGATTCACCCCAAACCCACGGGCATCGCTCAGACACACGGGATTCACCCCAAACCCACGGGATTCACCCCAACACGCGTGTGTCACCCCAAACCCAACGGGAATCACCCCAAACATGCGTGTGTCACCCTAAACCCATAGGATTTGCCCCAAGCCCAGGGAATCAGATTGAGCATCTTAAACTGAAAGTTTGTGTTGTTAATTACTTAAAATTGCTGCGGTTGTGATTATTATTAATTTTTACATTATATAGTTCTGTATTGTATATTTAGAGGTAATATAAATACTATATATTGGCTATATTTCATTACTTATTTTATATTTGTTTTTCAATATATCAAATATAAGTATTTTTAGTGTCTCTTCTATTAGATATAGAACAAATTATTTCACATTATTATAATACTATATATTATTTATATTTAGTTATCTGGTTAGGTTTAGCTCAGAAAGAATGCACCCTTTGTTTTCTCCCTCCAGATGCAGATTTCTCTGTTAATTTTAATTATTTCTATTTAAATGCAACTAGCTATTTGTAAAATTATTATTTGCAAAAACCAACCAACCAAACATAAAACACCCATCAAAACCCACAAAGAAACAAAGAAAYCAAACCAAACCAACCCCACCCCAAACTTTAAATTAAGGTGACRTTCAGGTCYAGCTGGAACATGAACAAGTAYCTTTCAAGCTTCATAGTAATTCTTAAAAAAAAACCACCTCAGAACAATCAAGATGCCTGAATGTTCAGTGACATCAACACATTGTGATTTAACTTGCACTAGGGTGAATTACACTCAAGGAAGCTTAGAAAGCATGGTAACAGAAGAGATTGTATTTTTATTTTAGAAAAAGGAGACAAAATGGGAGCTGTGGCAACAGCAAAAGTGGTTAAGATTGATTTAAATGCAGTTAATAGAAATATTCCAACACAGACCAGAAGCAAAACCTGACACTCCTGCTTCGATTCTAACACAAACTGATAAACTAATGAATGAAGACAATTTTAAACAGAACTTGTATACTTTAATTGTAGTTAGAGTTCCAACTTTTTTTGCAAGTTGGAAAGTTGAGGGTATACACATCCAAGAAATGAACAGAAGAGTTGAAGTGAAATAGCACCAGGTTTCTAAAGTACAGAAATGGACAGCTCAGCACTTCCTCCCCAGCTCAAAATCAGTTTGGATATAAAATGCAGCACTTCARGCTCAGGGAAATCACAACGGTTTTAAAGGCTGGCCCAATTAGAGTGCCACACTTTGCTACTAAGACAGGCCTCTGGAGACCAAAGCTCACAYGCCATGTCCCAGATCCTGAGCATCACAATTGAACCACTTTCCCTGGACAGGAGGCCCTCAAGAAGCTCCTCCCTGGGCTGCACCCGAGTTGCAGAGAATTCACACTCTTGAACAAGAAGCTTCCCAAGGCCACAGCCTCCTCCCAAACATGCATGCTAATCAAACTCAAAGCCATTATTGTTTTTTTCTATTAAAAATTGTATAAGACTTGATAAACTACCAGAACAGTAGTTAATCCTAACATCTCTTTCCTTCCCAGATGCATTCATACACTAATGCATTGTCTTTTTAAAATCATGCAGAACTTTTGTAGTGGAAATGGTTTAAGCTGCCATCAGTCAACAGAGGTATGATTTGGCTGAGTTTTCAACCTACTATAAGACCTTTGCAGAGCTCCCTGGATATTGATACTCCCCCAAGTCTTACACATTTGCTGCTCCTGATGATCTTAGGAAACTTCCTTTGGGTTATCCTATTTCATTGAGGCAGGAGGGACACAGTTCTTTTTCTTCCTTTAGCAGGTGGGAGGTGAAAGAAGGAAAATCTCTCAAATTGGAGGGGAAAAAATCAAGAATGATGGGGCAACATTTAGAGAAACAACCTAAACATTATCCACCACTTGCTATACATTGATTTTTGTTAATATCCTCTATAAAGTTTAACACCATCTCCACATACTGTTTGCTACTAATCACAGTCACTATTTTACCTACTTTTCAGTACTTGATCAAATATTAAGCCTTTATATTAAGCTCAAAAAAAAGTCCTCTGAAATCACTGAAATTGTAATTGTTTACACTTCAGGGGAATGTGCCCCATTTCTCATGTCTTCTTCACTTGAAGTATTTCAAGAAAGAAAGAGACACACAGGAAAGGTAATATGAACTGCAGAATACATACAACAACCTAGAGTAATACTGTTCCTACAGTATCTTGTGCAGACGACTTTCCATAACCACAATAGTAWGTTTAAATATAAGGCAAACGGACACTGGAGGCCACTAAGCAGCTCATTTGTGTATTTCCCTTAAGGGAGTAAAAGTCCAATTTCATTTAAGTGCTATAAAATTTACGTCCTAACACGTAATATTGTTAAATTTTTTAAAACATTTTATGATCTATGCTTGTTTGTCTAACAATCTGTTTACAGAATTTACATTTTTATGYTGAAAGTAATTAAAAAAATGTATTTCCAGAGAGACACTTTTTAACTACCAGTCTTAGTACAGTTGATTGAGCTGGTGCTTCGACAGAGTTATAGTCTGGTACTTTGTATAGCAGCAACTGTTTTTATAATCCTTAAAACAGTAAAATTCCCAAGGCAGATTTGTTAGGAAGCTGTAAACAAGTAATCTTCCAAGACTCATTGGCAATGAACAGTGATCCCTAGTCTAGGATTTAAGTTTCTCTGCCAAATTTCAATTTTTAAATCTGTGGAACCTACTTCCRAATTAACACTCTGGAGCAGTTTGGAAACTTGTCTCTGAGGAAGAGTCAACATCTATTTCCAACGCAGACTCATCAGGATTTGGAAGAAAATTAGGATAGGACTTTAAGTCTGACTGCTCCTGTATATCAGCAGATGCAGTTYTCATAGCTGAGTTCATGAAGCATGAAGATTCCCAGAGCCAGCTCTCAATGTGTGCAGAAGAGTGAGGCATTTTAAGGTGGCAGTATGAAGAATGAAATTCCACAGTAGATGGGACAGTTTGACATTTTCTTAGTGACGCATAATTATCTTTCCTGCTTAAAAAGAAAGGGGGAAAAGGAGATACATTATTAGTGTTTCAATAACATATTTGTAACATTTTAAAGTAGCAAATACRGTTTTCAACTTCCCAAAGGCCATCTCTGCATTCCACTTTACAGCTTCTTATCACYACCTGAAAAACTGGAACAGAACTTTTCTACAACCAGCACCTGAATCACTAGGTTAGCCCATTCCAATTTGAGAAACAGGAAACTTAAGTTTTAACCAAGAACACCCTAGGTTTTTTTCTTTAAAGTTTTCTCTCCTCTCTTGTGGTGCTTTTGTGAAAAAAAACAAACCCAAAAACAACAAAAAACAAACAAACAAACAAAGAAACAACCCCAAGCAAAAACCCAACAATGCAACATGCCACAACCCTTCTCACACACAGGATTACCTTAACTTGCCATACACACACTTYCAACACTGGTTGAGTTGCTTTTCCACAAGAAGAAAAACACTGTTTTTGTTTAATCATGACRCAATCACCAAGGAAGCCCTAAGAAGTTAGTTCTGAGACAAATTTGTGATATTGTATCTTCCCAAAGCCTGTTTCAGATGAAGAGACTCAGGRGTGGTAAGACTGGAATATGAGAGACATGGAGAGGTTGCCAAATTAAAGTAGAACAGGGAGGTGACTATTCCCAAATTTATTGTGGAAAGKACTCCGAAATAGCATTAAGATGGAAGAAAAGACACTGGATTACCTGTGCTATCAAGTAGCTGAAGAGAGGACAGTAGGATGACAGCAAATATATACAAAAAAAAAAGACATTTTGCTCAAAGAGATGGCCTCAAAAGCCAACTAGGGTTATACAAGAAAAGGCTTTCATTGATTTCAGAAAGAGAGAAGATGGGCTATTAGCCTGTCTACAGAAATTAAATGCTTATGAATATTGTAAAAAKAAAGTATCTTTACAACCTTTTATTAAAGCTACCATTTAATACTTCCAAAGGGGGAAGAAAACTCAAGATTCAACCTCATTAAAATCCTTCCATTAAGCCAAAGAATTTAACAATGAGTTTGAATATTCTGTACTTCTAAGGAGCAGAGAATATGAATTGAAMCTTTCATGATGCCACTCCAGAACCTGGCAAAACTTCTTGAAAGGAAGTAGGATCAAGCATTTTTTCTCAGACATATCAAACCTGCATTTCTGATGGGTCAGTGCAGTGCCAGAGAAAAGAAGAGCATCTTTGATCTTCCTACTTATCTGACATTATTAAAACTAAGAAGGCAAAAGCTCAAGAACTCCTGGCTTGAATAAAAGAGTATTTTTGGTTATAATTTTAAAATGTGCTATATATAGAACATGACAATGATTTAATTRAAATATCTGCTGCAGTTAGGGGTCTCCAGTGCTACAGCTACCTCTTGAAAACCTTTATGAAGTGTTGAAGAGTTCTATTTACCTTAATAGCTTTTTCAGCCAAATGCTTTTTCCCTCTTGTTCTACCTGCTACGCAGTAAATCCAGGAATGGGGACAATAATTTAAAAAAGTACAGTAAAATAGAGATGACCAACTCTGCTGGATTTATGCTTTTTTAGAGCAGATCTTAGGAGACTTTGYATTTATAAGCAACTGAATTCTTAGATGCATGGTGAGGTGTCACCTCCACACACATGATGTTACAAAGTTAAACACCAAAAAAGTCTGAAAGTAAGAGAAGCATAAATGAAGTAGAGGTTTCTCTTTCAAAAGAGAGAAAGAAAGAAATAGAGGTTCCTAGAAATCTTGCACCACGTGTCTTATTTTACTATTCCCCAACTATTTTACAATACTGTTCTTCATATTCATCTACTTTTTGAGTCTTCGAATGTCTCCTGTCCAGACTCATAAGAATTCAGTCTTTCTCCCACTGTTTTCACATTCCTACCTGCTACTTCTGATTTATCACATCTTGAGTAACATTCCTCTCCTCTTTTCTGACTACTTCAGCTACTGTGGAACAGAGAAGAAACAAGGTCTCTGTTCTYAGTCCAATGCACATAACCCACCCCTCCCCCCAAAAGCATAAACCTACGAAGACAACATCTCCTCATCTRCAAGGTGCAGAAAGATGATTTGTACTTGATGCTCTGAAAAAAAGAATTTCTAAAAATACATCATTGGCATGCAGCACACTCACTTTACCTGGCTGTACAGAACAGCTTGTTTTTAGCCTGGGAATAAACGGTGGCAGCAAGCCGAAATAGCTGTTCCTGCATCCATCGAACATCAGCAGGCATGTCAGGAAACCAGTTTACCAACCTGCAGGCAAAACCAAAATACAGTTCRTGTAAGCGGTAGATTTAATCGGCATTATATTTTTACACACCATGTCCCACTTCCAAAACAGATTGCTTTCTTTCTCCCCAAAATCAGCTTCCCTACCAAGGTCTCCATTTCTACCCAACCTTCCTGAATTCCCATCCAGCCCACTCATCCCTTTTTTACAARCTATAAAAAGGGGCAGCACAGATCACTGCATCTCTGAGTTTGCTGAGTGGCTGACCAGTGGCTGAGTGGCTGACTGCATTCCACACCCAGCAATGCAGGAAGCTTGCAAATATTCCTGTCTCCAAGWCCTTTTTGGTAGGAACTTTCTGGTCAGTTTAAAGCAAGGTGGAAGAAGAAGGAAGAACAAAAGACAAGCACGATGGAAGAACAAAGAGAAGGTAAAATAAGAAGAATGTCAGAAATGTACTTTTTTTCCTTATGATATCCTTAAGAGAAGTCAGCTACATCAGAGTGGGACAAGGAGTAAGATCCCCCCAGAGAAATCTGGGGAAACTTGCTTCTTCTCCATCCACCAAAAATGGCACTAAAAGTGCCACATTTACCGGCAAACAAAACACTTCACTGGAGTGTGGCTCTATATGATTTGATTCACAGAACAATCAATTTTTCAAGATTTTCTAAAGATAGCAATGACATCTGCTGCTCAAGGACTGGAATTCCCTTAAGCAAGCCCAAAACTTAGGACTCATGGTACATTCACTGAGCATAACTTCTTCTTTACAAGAATTGAAACATTAAATTAAGAGTGCTTCAAGAGCACAACTTTCAGTCAAYTTAAACAAAATCAGTAAGAGAATTCATATGGTGAGTAAACAGYGGATTTCATTCCTGACTTCAGAAAGAAGGACAAGAAGGATGTGCATAGAGTTCAGATACCCCTGCAAAATACAGTAATAAAGAATGTGCTCCTGGAAAGCACAACTAAAGGTGCTTCTTTTGAGCAATTACAACACAGCTATTAGTAATATGAGTGTATTATATAAGAATCTTCTTAATATGTTTATTTATCTAGCCTTAGACTATACAGGCTTTAGGAGGGTGCATCACACAGACAGATACAACAGGTCTTTTGACAGTTACCACTTGAATTCCASAGTACCAGAATGCCTACAACACTGTATAAGCTCTCAATGAGTACACTTCCAAAATTATAATAATTCAAAGAATTCATTACAAGTTCCTTACCGTAAAGCAACYGAGTAAGCAGACTCCACTGGGAGTGTGTATGGCAGCATCAGGTAGGATATCACCCGCATTGGGAAGAGTTTAGAGAACTGGGCATAGAATCCATTCTGYTCTTTACAAGCTTCTTGCAGTGCTTAAGAATAATTATTTGAGGAAAGATGTTACACTATTTGAATGCACTTTCAATAATTTCTCAAAGTTTTTTAATATTCAGTYAACATTATTAAAGTGTTACTGAATAAAGATCAGTTAGAAAATGAAAGAATTAATCTCAGGGCATTCTTACCATAAACCTTCTCTATGCTATTGTAAAATATGGGAACACAGACTCATGCCACAGGGACAAAATGCATTATCCAGAACTTCTGAGCAATAAATCTCAGAATCAGTGTTAAAAAAAAATTAAAAAAAAAAAAATCCAAGTTTGGCACTCAGAGTTACAGGAAATAGCCTGAAGCATGCACCTTTACGAAGTCTGGGAGGTAGACTCTCAAATATGCTCTTCTCCAAAGGCCATGGATTTTGCATTAGCTGGTCATTTAAGCTGGTCATTTTCAATGTTTCTACTTTGTTATTTTCTGTCAATTTCCTTTTCTTCACATGGTCAATATGTTGTTGTGCAGCCTCGTGAGGATTTCTTTTTGTGAAGGACAAGTGGATATAAATTGAGTCATTCAGAATACCTGCAAGAGTCAAGAGCTTTCACTTAGGTTTGATCCACAGGTCTTCCACATACCTGTACTGCACCTGTGGTGTGTGTCCCTGTACAAAGACCCGTCCTGGGGGAACAGCATCTACCTCATGTCAAATGCACCTRCTCTTAGGATCCCACAAATGCTTAACCACAATGATGGCTCTTCTGAAAGTTTAGGTCTTACTTTAAAACAGGTTCTAAAGAAAAGGGAAAAAGTAAACAATTGAGTGAAACTGCCCTGGAAACATACAGTCATTTACCAAAGTTGTTTTCCTGCAAGAAAGCAAATTATTTAAAGGAGAGGAGGAAAACTGAATTTAATATGTATTTGAAAGAAAACACCTGAAACACCTCAGATATTTGGGAAATTTGACATGGCAGGTATCACACAAGTACTTTGAGGCATTGCTACAACAGGGTTGAAAAAGAAAGCAACTAGGTTACAATACTTTAAGTTATATCCAAAGTACAGATCTAAATCAACATGGCTTGTATTGCAAAACTAGTACCAATTAAGAAATAGTACTGATAACTACCTTAGAAACAAGCATAGATAATGAGTACACAGAGAAAAATACAAGTGCACTAATACTTTGTTTCCAAAAGATGATTATAAAAACATATGTGAAAAGACTACCAAATTATATTAGGACCTATATCTATGTAAAACAGAATCTGTATCCTATTTGCAAGTACTAGTAAAAGACAAATGTCAAAGCAAATTTAGCAAAAGAAAATATTTGAAGTGTCACAGATTGGGGAGGGGGATTAATTCCTACAGTTGAAATAACTTAATAAGAAAGGTGATGCATAATGAATGACCTTGGAAAGGTAATAATTATCACTGATTAAGCTTGACGCAAAACAACCCTGTGACAGAATAAAAACAAAGTTGATCACAGGATTCCTAGTGTGAGAAGGAGGGCAGTAGTGCAATACAGAGAGGACATGGGGCAAAGAGACCAAGGAAGAATTGCAAGGAATGTCAGACATAACTGTCAGATGCAAACATGCACACAGGAAACTTGCAGATGCAGGACATCAACAGGACCCAGCTCAGCACACACAATCATAAACTAGAGGCTCTTTGTAGATCTTGTGCGTTTCATCACTGGTAAAAGGTATAAAGCAGGACTCTCTCATTAAATAACAATAATAATATGTAATAAGAACAATACAGAAAATCAAGCTCTTAAGCAGAACTGAAGAGAACTGTTTCCAGAAAACCTAAACATGTAGTAACCAGGCATCAGCAGTGTACATCAATGACTGCATTACAATCCTGCACGTGGCACTATCTGTAATACTAAAAATGTCCCATTTACACTCCCATTCCTCTAATCTGACCCAGTACCAATTTGCTTCTGCATCCAAAGACTACAGGAACGAGGCATAATTAACACATAGTTAACTTCATGCTAATATCAAGTTACTGTCTGCAACTTGTTTGTCTCAAAGCTTGCAGAGCAATAATATTTMTTAATATCAAACATGTTATTATTATTCTAGGAGTATAAACAGTCACTCTGAGTTCTTCCTAAAGTTATCTGGGTGTCAACAACTGCTCCATTATAAGTTGTCTTCTGAAGTCTTTCTTCACACAGATCAAGGGTTTGTCTGTGACTGAGTTTACATTGCTGTTAGCCAGCTCCCAGTTCTGGACTACCAGAAAGTCATTGGATGACAGCAGAAAGGAGCCAATAGAAGAAACAGGTTTCAGAGGAGTTTGAAGCAGTAGCCTATTCCCATCCTTCACAATTAACACAAAACCAAGTGATAATATGATTTGCCTAGAACTGGAATTCTTTGGAAATTTCACTTAAMATTTACTTTACACAGATTTGACAAAACTCCAGAGGTTGGATTTGTGTGAAGCACAACTTAGGTGAACCATTACTGWAACGATGGCATTTCTACAAGAATTAAACTACCATGATCCTTCCAAAAGCCTCAAAGACCAAAYCCCTTCTTAGCTATACACAACCCCCTCGCTCTTATTGTTTGTTTTGATCTGGGGTTTTTTCCATTTGTTTTTTAAACTCAAGTTAAGACCATTTCACTAATAATTATTTAAAAGTTTTTCGACCTACCATTCTCTTTCAGGAATTTAAGAGCATCCAAGTATCCTTGCTCACAGATCTCTCCAAGCACCTGCAAATATAGGGTAAACAAGTCRGACAAATAAAAGGTGTTTTAAGTTGAGATCAACAGTCTGCAGAATGAACAGCTACTTTCATCCACCTTTCATGCTTATAAGAAAAAAAATCACCTTAACAATTGCTCTAATTGAACAGATTCAGGTGAATATGGCTACTGTGATGATGCATACATGATCATGTAMATTAACTTATCTTTCAGCTATTACAGATGCACTGAATTATTCACCTGAAAGGACCACATTCAAACAGTTTCCAAGACTTGCTTCCCCTCTCATTTCCCTGACTAGTCCTTCAGAAGCTGCTAGCAGCAATGAAACAGCTTGTTTGGAGTATGCCAATTCCCCTCCTTCCCTCCAGTACTTCTCACTTTCAAAAACTTTGAGAAAAATCAGTGTAAATAGAATTTAAAATTTGTCTTGAAGTCAAAAAACAGTCAAAAAGGTCAAAAAGCCTTCAGTTAAAAAAATATATCAGTCAGAAAAATTACTTCTTTGCTGTAGTATATCCCAAGCCAATTGAAAAGGTCTGGTTTTATTTTTCTAACTTCCACAACAGAAATTCAAGAGCATTTCCCTCATCAGAGCTGCAATTAACAGCCCTTAGCAAAGTTTAAAGGCAGCTTGCCTGTGCCAAGTATTAACTGAGAACTTTACAAAACCATGAAGCTTTAGAACTTCTTACTTCTTAGCAGGAAAACATGARAGGACTACAAACTGACAGTTACTAATTTACCAGTGTGGGTTTTATGATAGAATCCTGTGATAATTCCCAAACAAATACTGGAAACCAATGACAGGATATACGTTTTTAGTCTGAGAGAGACTAAAACCAAGGAGAACAAAGACAACACATGAAAAAAACAGAAAGAAGATACATCCYCAGAGAAGTTTATATGACTGGATGAAATGCTAAAACACTGTAAYTTTCTGCAAAAGCTTTCATGTGGACAGATGAGCCAAAGGAAGGCAGTGACTGACCTTGGGTTCTGGTGGAAAGAGTGCTTGTGTTARGCGATAAAGGTTCCCCAGGCTGAACTGAATGCTGGTGTTGGTCACGTTCATCTCATGGAAATTGGCTGACTTCCCCTTGGGACAGATGTCACACTCCCCAGCRAAAGGGGACACTGTGATGGTGTTCTTACACTCATAGTGAGGCAAGTTGTCACTGATTCCTCCRTCCACATAGCGCTACAAAAATGAACAGAGACAACATGTCTGAAGGCTGAAAACATCTGACCAGGAAATTGCCCATGCAAGAATGAAACAGCATTAAAGGGTGCAACAAAACAGCCTGAGCTCCCAGGCTAAACATTTGGAGTAGCATGCTTTGTTCYCTAATGCCAGTAAACATCCCTACCTATAGTTCCATAAATAGCCCAAAGAAGCATATTTCATTTGGGATTTTTCTATATGTTTTTTTAAAGAGCATAATCCTACACAACCTCAACCATTCAGTTAGAAAGAATAACTTCAAAATACTCTTCATAATTAGAATTTGATAGAAAAGCATCAAAAAGATTTGGACATAAGGAAACTACAAGTAAAAATGGACAATGCTTCAGAAACTTAGCCAACAGTCACAGGCATCTATTGTGCTTTGTGTGCAAATTCCAGGTTATGCTTTTGTCTGCTTCATACTGAAAAGCCCATWTCTGTAGTTTTAGTGCATCACCACATCAGACTTTGTAAGATCCAAGAACCAAAAGGGCTCTGTTTTGGAGTAACTAATGTCCAGTGCAGCAGCTGCAGTGGCTACAGGCAGTCCTCCACTTGCTCACAGCAGCCAGCTTTCCAGTGGGGTCAGAGGGAACTGTTTTGCTCCCACACTAACAAAACACTACCAGCTTTGATGGTTCAGAGCCTGCATTTTCCACCTTCCTAACAGGTCAGCAGATCTAAACTGTAGGTCCTTGTCAAACATAAATTTAACAGAGCAGATGGTTTGAGCAGGAGCAACCTGGATTATCAATTTCAGCTGCCCTGATACTCGCACCCTGACCATTCTGAGAAACGTATCAGGAATTAGGAAGAGGACAGCTCATGACCTGTCAGCTCCCATGGACACCCTCTGGACCCAGCTGCATGCAGCTACTATAGAACTAAAGGTGTGTCATGCARTCACTGAAGTACATGTGCAATCCCCAAGTCCTTTGTGGAAGTATCAAGTACCATACAAGAGGTCCAACAAAGGAGGACCCTTCTCATGACATTATTMGAAGGTGGAAGTACATATCTGGAATCACTGTTCTACTGTTCCAAATGATCTTCATGATTTGGAGGATCTGCTTGGCTGTTCCTCCTAGTAATTTTTTTAATCTAAAACCACTGCAGTGTTTGAAAGGAGTAAAAAACCCCAAGAAAACTCACCACACCCAAAAGCTCCTGAATTGAAAATTAGATATACCTATTAAATGTTATCTGTAAGCCTTTGTTTTACAGTACACATGCAGGAATGCCAAGCCAGGAAAYAGCAAGATGCCACAAAATGCACATATTTGATATTCTATTGCACTTAAGCCTATAGGAGTCATGCCAAGCACATGCAACTGCTGTATTCCTACCAAGTTACATGCAAAAATGCCTCCTAAACATTAAAATTATATCAAAATAATTGGAAAGATTAAAAGGATAGAATGATGCCTTCCTTTCTTCAAAACGTGACCAAATAAAGCATCACTTTTATGTTTTTCTACTCTGAACTAAGCCTTTTAAAATAACATTTTTGTCTGGTGACAAGAACTGAGCAGCCAGATTAGCCTGGATCCACCTAAACCTTGGATTCAGTCCAACGTCCTGTTTTCATAACACCTTTAATCTGGAAGAGTTTAAGGAGACATGCAAGGTTTAGAAGTACAGATAAAGAAAATCCCTATACAGTTCTAATCACTTTTGCTYAAATTTCAGCATGTAGGAAAGAAAAAACATTTCCTCTCTATTCTTGATCTTTTAATACTTGCAAATTGCCTTGAGAACAGTCTGTAAACAACCACTGTTTAAGATGTTAAAAGTTTTCTGTCTTTCTTCCCTTCTCCTTGTGCAAGGAGCAGCAGAGTTTGAAGGAAAGCAAATGCAAGTTAATAGACCAGGGCAACAAAAAGCCACCAGTGTCACTGCCTTTGAAATGCAGATCTACTTCCAGACCTGTAATCAAAACACCTACAACAAGCCAGGCCAACTTTCCTGCAGTTTTTGTCCCTTCAATGGGGGATTTTAGAAARCCCAGTACAGTATTGAAAGGTCTTGTAATCAGCAGTTCCTGTGGAGCAACAGAACATACTAATACACTGATAGTTTACCTCTAAAAAGTATGCTTTCTTACACTGAATACAAATGCCAGAAGGAATTAAAAAGCTTTGTTTACACCTAACTGAACACAGAAATTTAATCCTTGTTGTAAGGCAGATCTCCCTACACTCAGAACAGAAAGATATACAATAAATTATCTTACAAGATATTGTTTGAACAATTTTAATTGACTCTTCCTGTAAATTTGTGCAGGTGAAAGAATGCAATTTCCTTCAATAAATACTTATCTATAAAGTACTCATTATTTTATAATATCTTCTTCTTTTATTAACACATCTTGGGAGGGAGAGGAGGGAGTGAGAGACAGTTATGTGTGTGGTAAAATATAAGTAACATCTTCCATATATTTAGTGTTTCTTTCTTTTTTTGAAAAGTTGTTACAGTTACAGTACTAGAAGCTATGAGGAAGGCATTTATTTTATAGGAGGATAACAAAAAAGCGCATAAGAATTCTCTTTTAATGTTTTCTGAATAGTACAACTATTTTTAGATCTTAACAATAGAGACTTACCACACCTCTAAATGATGGTGGAATGAGGCCACAATAAATAGGGACAAATGAACTACAGATTAATGCCTGTARGAAAAAGAGACCATATAAATTAAATGTTAACTGTTCCACTGCTGACATTAACATTTATCTTTTTTTTTTTTTGATCTTGGCAAAAATAACTAAGCAACAAAGAAAACCCCCAGCGAGAACACTTGAACAAAAACTGGGGAAAAAAAAGAGGGTATTATCAAGCAGTATTTTATAAACAGGATGAGGGTATTCCACGTTTTTTTTTTAATTATTTATTATAATATTATATATTATCATCTAAAAAAATTTTAAGATTCACTTCTAAAAATGGTGATCAGCAAGGAAAAGACTGTTCACTCAAGCTCTACATTTTCTGAATTATCAGTAATTACTGGGGACACAAATATTAGCATCCTGAGATCATATTAAATCAGCTTTGTAGTTGACATTAAGAGTTTTTAAAAGCTATTTTTGAGCATTTCTTGACCACTGCTTTTATGAAAATGACCCCAAATTCTTATACACTAAGGATATGGTTTCATTAGCTCCACTGCACTTTAAAGGCATTTTTTTATTTTTATGACTGATCCCTTGCACCTCCTCTCTAAAACAGGTCACAGACACATTGATTGGGAAAACCAATACATGAATCTGGTGTAATAAAGCTTGAATTCCTCTTTAAAACACTGTCAGTCACAATATCTGAAATGCTTAAAGCAGAAATCCAAGAGATTATGTTAAAGGCTCCTAGGATTAGCTTTTAAAAGTTGCCAAAAAAGAAACATACCTGTATAACTTCTTCTTTAGAATTAAAATTAGATATCAAGGCATTTTTACCATCTGATACTCTGGTTAGTGAAATACACAGTCTGCCTGATGACAACTGGTGTGTGTTTTCTGGAAGATTTCTCATCAATCCATCTCTTATTATCTTTATCACATTGAAGGAAGGATGAAGAGGACCAAGATTTCGCTTTCTAGCTTCTTTGGCTAATGCCAGAACATCTGCACAAGCCTGAGCTGAAAAGAAAATGCAGTTCCTTTAAGAACAGAAGATACATCAAAAAACAGAACCYACACTAGGACTACTAAAGCATATCTAGAGCTCCAACTTACCTCTCTTTTTGCTAGAACGAAAATTCAAGATCTTTTTAACAGATAAAATAACTCAAACACATTTAAGAGCATTTAGGAGTTTTCTGAGAGACAGAAAATCACTTTAGACTTTCAAAAAGAACTCCTAGTGAAGGCTAAGTTACTTCCGTCTATACATAATCTACATTAAAATRCAAATTCTAAGTGTAAAATAACCATTTGAGATGCTTGTATTAGGAATCATTCATTCCAGAAAAGAATTCTTTAAGGGAAAAAAAAAAAATAACCAGACTTAAGGTTTTAGGGCACTGTTTATATTCATTGATATATAAACACACTCCAGGGAACATGAAGTATGACCTGGGAATGTCAGGGGGGAAGTTGTTRAAGCAGTGGGTAGGGAATATGAAGGAGATCCATAACAGATCACACAGGTCTCTACCTAAATARGTGCATTTTTATAGCAAYAGACACTTTATAATTTTTTCTCCAATTAAATCTATGTTTGGGAACTTCAAACCACTACGGAAGACACGACTGTTTCTGAAGAACATTGAAATCCTTTCAACATTCAGTCACAGGAGGGACAGTAGCTCATCCATCTGCAATATTTTGAACATAGAATGTCACGTTTTTCCCGTGCACACTTTGAGGAAATTGCTTGTCAGCTTGGTAGTGGAAAGGGGGAAAAGGTCAAAGTAACATGTTAACAACCTGAGTGATAGGTTACAAGGTCTTGTAAAAATATTTTCAGAACTTATATACTCTACCTTACTAGAACAGCCAGCAACTCAATTTATTAGGTTAAATATGAGCATTGCACTGGCAACAACTCTGCTTAAGCCTTTGAGCTCAGATTAATTTCCAAAAATATTACCTTTCTACAATATTATTTTCCCCCTCAAATAGCAATAACTAAACATTTATCATCCTCAACCAAGAGTCTACATTCAAAAGAGCATCTCTAAAAAATCTGAGGTATCAGACACACTCCATTTTTACCACTTTAATTTTTTCATTCCATTCCCACTGAGGTAAGTCTTGGGCCACAGATCCACTGACATCAGTAGCCTGACTCCACCTTCCACCCAGAAGACAGCAAACAATTTAGACACAGCTAAATTGGTTCAAGGTCAAATATATGTTTATCTTCGTAAAACACATTTTACAYGCAAATAAATTGCATAAGTCACATTCTGACAAGTGACCAAGTTACTTCCAAAAGCAGAATGAGGCAGTTCTAGCAGTTCTATTTGTTCATCCATTCAGACATTCTTTACCACTTCTTTTTCTTACTTAGCAATGCTCAGTCTTCTAAACTTTCTAAAGATAGCCATGTTGCAGGAGTCAAAAATACTGAAYTACCAGAACTCTTGCCAGGAAGTCTTCAGGAGTACACAATAATTACCTTTTGCAAAATAAGTACGGTTCTGAAAGCTTATGCACCAAGTCACTTGCTTGTTCTAAAATATAAACCAAGAGCAAACAAATACAYGCAATTTGATTTAGCAGTTTACCCATCCTCACATACAAGAATTTCCATCTAAGAATATGTGATATTTCAACACTGAAAATTTATGAAGTTTTTTGTTATTAATTCAACAGACTTCAAAATATTCCAACTTCTTTTCCTTCTCCCTTCCTTTTCCAACAGGACTAAAATACAGTTGCCTCTTAGGCTGGTGTCCAAAATAAGAACTTCTCCAAAAGAGATAAAGGGCTAGAGCTCAAGTCAAACTGGGATTTCAGGTAGACTTTGGTACACCAGTTTTATTTTTGAAACATAGGAGAGCTAAAGAAACTGATGTTCCTAATAAATGTGAACTGTTTCTAGCTATAGTCCTATATTTCTATTTTTGATTGTTACATTAAGTATTTGTTTCACAGAATAAAACCTGAGAAGTTTACTCCCCAGACTAAAACCTGACATTATATTTGCAGCCTCCACTAAACCTGCTTTCTTTAAGCATCCCACTAGAACAGATGATCACAGCACCATCAATACACCATATCTCCAAGACATCCAAGGAGTACARCTTAACCATTCCAGTCTGGAATAGCCTGGAATGCAGTTCATTCTCAAAACAACACTCATGGCTAAGCTTCCCAACCTCCCCCATATTCAGTGAAAGAAACTCTCTGTCAGTCTCTGAAAGTACACTTTTTCCTCCCCATTCAGTAACTAATGATTACATTTATTCACTTTTGAAGTTGACAGACTCTCTACCTATCCAGCAGATAACCTGAATCAGAGAAAACCCTTCACTTAAAATATCTGGCTACAAGGCTGCAAGAAAAGAAATGTGCTCTCCAATTCCAGCCACAACCCTTGCTYGCAGAYKTGCACACYCTTTTTCGTGTGCACCAACACACARACCAGTTCAGGGCTGGGTCCTGCCAAGCCCCAAAGATCTCCACAGATGGAGGTCTCACAACCTCTCTGGAAATCYGTTCCATTATTTTACCACCCTCATGGTAACTGTCTTTTCCTTACACTTCATCTGAATTTCCCCTGCTCCAGCTTGTTCCTGCTGACTCTCATTCTTTTCCTGCTCACCTCTGGGAAGAGCTGGGCTCTATCTACCCACAGCAAAATGCAACTGTGAAAAAAAACATGGGATTTACTTATACCTCCAACTGCAGGAACAAYAAATACTGCACATTAAAGCATATCAGAATAAGAGAGGCATATGACATGAGCTCACAAAATACGTATTATTGCAACACACAGTGTTTCTTTACAATCTGAATTTTATGGAGCTTATTTACAATCTTTTGCTTTCACACAAGCTCACAAAATACCATAGCTAGAAACTCAGAGAATTCTTAGTTTTACCAATTTACAGCGATTCACAGATTTTAGAATGTGGCTGGGTTTGAACTGTCTTGCAACATTCCCAAGTGACGTTTGTTTTTTTGTTTTTTTGTTTTTTTTTTTTAATTTTCCAGTAGAAACACACTTGCCCATGGAATCTGCTGCCTTGGGCAGTGATCACACAGACATTCTATTAAAAAAAAGGAAAAAATCTCAGTCTGCGTATGAGACTGATAATCATTGAGAAAGGTAATATTTTAAATCTACAACTCTCAATTATTAAAGTGCTAAAAGCTTTAAAAACTATTATTAGCTCATACTGTCAAATAAACAGCTTAAGAKTATTTCAAATATTTAAAACAGCTTCCTTCTCGAATCACTTACAGTGACTTCAGACTTAAAACTGGGTTTGTAGTAAAAAAATATGAGCTATTGGGGGAAAATATGATTTCTTTTAAAARCTAATATTAGGCTCATAATAATTCAAGCGTGTTATTCAGACAAAATCTGAATTTAAAAAATCTTTTAGCTCTAAACAAGTCAAGGGYTGCTAACAAAAACAATCAGTGTGGAGTCATGAACTAGTCAAGCTTTAATCAGTGGATTTCTTTAGTTTARAAACAAAACCATTTTCAGATTTCCAGATACTTCATACAATTTTTAAAACTGCAATCCAGTCGCTATCCTAAACACTTCGACATTTTGATACCTTTTATCAAGTTTAATTCGTTAGAAAAATCTATATTCAGGTTCTCCTGAGCCCTAATAAGGTGTATTTTTCCTACTGCTAGAAAATAAGCAGTTATTTCCCAAAGCACATTATATTTAGTTGCAAAATAACATCTTCTATCCGGCATAAATACAAAACAATATTACCTCTATTATTTAAATGACAATTAAAATCAATGACTTTAATCAATCCACTGTTTCTAATCATACACCTAAGCGACCTTTGCAACATACACCGTGCCCAGATTAATGAGGAAAAGCATGTTAAAGCTAACCTAAGCCCCGACCTTAACTCTCTTAGCCTTACCCCAGAAAGGAGCAGCTTTGGAGGAAGCAAGATAAAACTATMTGGCATTTCACGTGCAAAGCTAAGCGCACAGAGATGCTCTATTTCCCAACGGAGCGCAAACACTTTGTTTACAGCTGATGACAGGGTTGGCCGATTTGCTTTGAAGGGTGTTAGGGCTCAGCTGCCTCCCGCTCTCTCAGTTAATTCCTGGACTTTGGACAGGGGCCGTGAGAGCAGCCCCTTAGAGGGATACAAACCCTACACATGGGGAGTAACTTCGACCGTTCGGCTACGCAGGTGTGAGAATCGGATCGGGCATCGCCAACACCGTTCCTTGCACCACGTACCCCTTGGGATTTAATTCCACCCAGGGGCACACGTTTGAGGGGCAAACACACACAGAATTGGAGCCGGCTCGGCCCCGCCCGGCCTGAGGGACCCCGCGGGCCGAGCGCTCCCCGGGGCCGCGCCCGCCCTCCCCCGCCGCACCGGGCTCTGCCCGCCGCACTGCCCCTTCGTGGGGCTCGCCCCGCCGCTCGCCTCGCCCCGCTCCCCCCGGCCCCGCCGCTGACCCAGAGAGCCGCCGCCGACGAGGACAGCGCCRGCGAGCGCCCCGGCGGAGGCGCCGTAGATGTGTCGCGCGTCGCGGATGACGTGCGGGGCGCGCTCCTGGAGGCAGGTGGCGGCGCCGATGTGGTAGACGCCCAGGAAGCCGCAGCCGGCGAAGGACACGCTCCAGCCGCCCTCGTGGTCCAGCATGGTCAGCGGCGGGACGAGAGCTGGGGCTGGTGGCGACAGTGACACTCCGAGCGCGGCGGCCGCTACCCGGCGACTGAGCTCGCTCAGCGGGACAGCCCTGCGCGTTACACGGCAGCCGCGCCCCCGCCGCCGGCCGCGCCGCAGCCAATCCCGCGCCGCCGCTCGGTGGCACAAGGCTGCCCAGCCAATCAGAGGGCACATGCAAATGACGCCCCGTCTCCCCGCCCCCGCCCGGCGCAGGACGCGCTCTCGGCGGGTGCGATCGGCGCCCCGAGTCCCGTGTCCCTCATGTCCCTCATGTCCCTCATGTCCCCCTCATGTCCCTCGTCCCCCTCGATCCCCTGAGACCTGTCGGTCTCCTCAGACCCTTCGGGCCCCTTGCCTCGGGCAGCCTCTGCTGGTCCCCCAGCCCCGCCTGTCCCCAAGTCCCCGCCCCGAGCGAAGCGGTCCCGAGGGGCGCGGCCCGCCCACCGCCCTTCCAAAGCTGCACGGTGAGCGGTGGGGTCCGGGGTCTGTGGGGTGCAGTGGCCTCTGGGGTCAGTGAGGCGCAGTGGGGTCCGAGGGGTCAGTGAGGTGCAGTCGGGTCCGAGGGGTCAGTGAGGCACAGTGGGGTCCGAGGGGTCAGTGAGGCGCTGTGGGGTCCGAGGGGTCAGTGAGGCGCAGTGGGGTCCGAGGGGTCAGTGAGGGGCAGTGGGGTCCGAGGGGTCAGTGAGGGGCAGTGGGGTCCGAGGGGTCAGTGAGGCACGGTGGGTCCGGCTCGGTGAGCTGGGGTGCCGGCAGCCGGGCGGGTGGAACGCGCCTCGTGATCCGCCGGTAAGAAACGAAGGGATTTGGGATCTGCCAGGCACGGCGGGGTAGCGGCAGGCAGCACCGCTCCCCCAACCCATGCGGGCCGTGGGAGGCGAGGGTTTAGCAATTACCCCGATTATCCAYGGCTCAAAGGAATCCACTGCCCCAGCGGGTGCAAGCACTCCTATCACATTATCTTCTCTGTTTAATAATCCTGAAACTTTAAGAGAAGAAAATTGATGATGACAATAATACTAGGCTTCTAATGGGAAGGTTACAGAATAAACTGCTTTCAGTTTGCAATTTCAATCTGCAAACAATTCTGTGTTCTGTTCTACCAACATTTTACAGAAAGTAGTAACAGCTGATTGATGCATCAAAACCAAGTGACAAGTACTGGTGGCCTTCGGAGCTCTCATAATGGCATCTTTAAGAATCTCATGCTTTCAGCTCTTCAGGCTTATTTTCCTCACCACTAGTTCAGATACTTCTATGTAAAGCTGCATTGCAGGCCAGAGATGTGCCCTAAATGTTTTCTTTTCTGCTCAAGTCCTCTCAGATGCATCTGAACACATCCAAATAGGGTTTAATCTCCCTGTAAAAAAGGCGGGTTTCCTTTAAAATTTGTAAGAGGAACTGGCGTTTGTATGTGATTTGGTCACCACAAATCCCAGAGTTTCCATTAGGCTCACACTGTAATGCCAGTGGAGATTGAGTAGCTMAGAAGGGAATTCAGAATAATTACCTTGCTCAGCAGGGAGCTCCCCAGAGCTCAACTAAGAAAAAAACCCAGAGAACAGCTGTCTGAAATCCTCTAGGATTTAATTGCCTCACTCAGGATTCTTTAGCTACCTGTATGCACCATTATGGCATAACCAATGGGATGTTACAAAATCTCAAAAGAGTCCAAGAGAAGCTCATACTTTCCRAATACACCAAAGAGAGGTTATGTTRTGAGATCTTTTATTTATAGAAAGCACTGCCAGGAAGAGATCAGAGTTCAAACTCCTTTTCAATCTGAATGGTCTTGAAGCCATATTCTGCCTCTAAGTGACCACCACAAACACTGAGCCATACTTCCTGTTTTTCCACTTCTAGTTTTGTTTTCTAGCCACTTCTGTCTTGTTGTGCCATTCATCTTCATCCATTCACCATTTCAATGGGCAGAGCAGGGAGTGTCCTAATCCTAATCCTAATCCTAATCCTAATCCTACCTCTCTTTGAGTGCTTCCCTTCCTTTAGGGAAAAGGGAGGTGTGAGATTGAACCCATTTCAGTTCACAGGGAAGGAGGAAGTTCAGGGAGAAGATAAGGGAGCTCAAACCACATCTCACACTTCCTAGAAGAGTCCTCTTTCATTAAAAATGTGATTTTGACTCCAGTAATTTTTCCATTCTCTTCTACAGGAAAGGGCCAGCTCTGCTGTATTTTGTATTCTCCTCATGTGTTCTCTCTCAGACCTTAAGTGTGGGAGATTACCATTCCTTAATCCATGTTTTGGAAAATGGACACCGAGRTGTTCAGAGAGGGACATTTCTGGACATCTACAGCAATCTGACAGAGCCAGTTAAAAGGCAGGAAAGCATGGGATTTTCAGAATGTTATCACATCCATAGGTTTCTCAGGGCTAATACCAATTTTGCTAGTAGACATCAACTCTGTTTAAAAATATTTTTTTTATCCCTGAACTGTCACTAGAAGATGACACATTTCAAGACACATCCTGAACCACATTTTTTGAATAGTCAGGAGGAGTCTTCTTTTTACTTGTAAAATGATACATGGCCAGTTCATAATCATCTGCTCCTCTATTTTTGGTCCTTTGGCATTAGTATGTCCTATACATCACTGACAGTGTTAAGAGTGCTGAGCTTTATTGCTTTTATTCCCCATTCTGTGACACTCAGGGAGCTGAGCTCCTCTGGCTTGCTTTCATGACACAGGTGCTACAAATGCTCCCTGACCAGTACTGCAACTGCTCCTTCMGATGGGGCTTCACTGGAGCTCTGCACAGCCCTTGCTGGGGAAGCTGAATCACAGATTGTGATTACTTGTACTGTGATGAACTGGTAAATCCAGGTCCTCCCCTGTCTCAGCTTACATCAGTGTTTTTAAATGTATTGCAATTCCCCCAGTACACAACAAACAAATTTTTTCCAACACTGGACACCCCTTCCCACATATGCCCAGCTTTTTTCAGTTTCTATGTCTTCTTGGGCTGCTTCCGAAAAATAGTACAATTTCTCCACTGCATCATCTCTAGCTAAGCAAACAACATCTCTTGCAAAAAAGAAAAAAAAAAATTAAGCTGGGGTGCACATAGACAGGATGGATCCTATCCAAGAAGGCTGATGCAACCTTGTGACAAGTCAACCCTACTGTGGTTGTACCAGATGCAGTTTCAAAAGTTCTATCAAATTTATATCAAGTTTTTTATCAAGACTGTCGTTTATAACAAGTATTGTTGACAAGTATCAAGTCCTGGTTGTATCAAGTCCTGTTTTTATTAAGTATCACTCCATTTACTATGTGTCGCAATCTGTGTTGCGGACACATCTTAAATTTTTAACTGAATCAAGTCCATAATTCCAGGAATATGAAATCAAGCCTGAAAGGCCTCATGAGGAAATCAAATGTAGTTCAGTGGGGTCATAATCTCTGAGGAAACTTGCAAGCAGCTTGCAGACTTCTGTAAGAGGACACTGACCTAACMCAATGTCTGACACATAAACTTAACAGGCACACCTTCTGTCTATCATTTAACCACCCTTCATACTTTCCATTTAGCAGCTATGTTAATTATTATATAGGCATGCCATTTTCCTAAGATGTGGACTAAATAAAATCTTTTGTACGAAATGGGAGAAACTGACAGTACACTTGTAAGGTGCCTTTAACTCCTTAGAACAAATGTGCCGTTTAAATACCTAAAGGTAGCTGAAGGCATGTAATTCATAGCAAGTGGAATCACATAGGATAGAGGTGAAAAGCAGTACTGGGCAGGTGACAAATAATCAGGACTGAGATCTTGGCCAGCCACATACATCTGACAAAAATGTCTGTCATTGGAAAGAGAAGGAGGTCCAAGAAGTTGCTGCTAAGGCCTGCTTGGAAACAGGAAATGTTTTCTATGCTTTTTTTTTGACTTTCAGAGATTCATTAATAATCATTGACCTCACTTTACATAAAGCATTTTGAAAGAGATTGTTGTATCATGACAGCCTTTTTCATGGTGGAGGAGGAAAGGGATAGAGTARTGAAGTCAGCCCAGTATCACTCAGCAAGACTAATTCCAAAGCAGGAGGGGAAGACTGATCTACTGAGTGCTAAGCCAGATCAATAGCATAGAACTTCTACAGAAGGATAACAAAGTACCTGCTAGAAWTTCTGGACCCCAGGACACTTGTCACTACAGTCTGTCGTGTGTGTGTGTTTCTGTGTGTGTGTGTGTTTTGTTTGCGTGTGCCCTTTTCAAGTGACCTTGTCAAATGTTCATCTACCTAATCTGAAAGCATTAAAGCCTCACTCATCTCTGCCATACATCTTTCTGGGAATGCTCTACTGTGAAAATTTTCTGCAGGAACAAAGCATTTGTTGGCAAAGTTTAGGCGCCTTTTGTGAGTAATGCAGCCTTGTCTCATGATAGAAAGCCTTGCTCTCCTCTGCCTAAAAGGATCCAAAGAGCAAAGTCAAGGGATTGCTTACACTCCCTTTGAGATATGGGATGCTGCAAGTTTACTCCTCTTGTTTCAGTGCATGCAGGGGAGARAGAATATGAGCTCTGCTGTCTTTGTTATTCAGGTAATTGTTGTTTATGTTCCTCTGAAGATGCTAATTTGTCACAGAAATTATGATCAATAACAGATATTTATTTTACTCTTTTGTGTGATCATCCTACCAGGGCTGGATACAATAAGGGAAATTCTACTGGATCAGTGGCCAGAAGACTGTTACATAGCTTTTCCTCTTTAAAATGCACGAGGAACCTCAGGGCAGGAATGGAGAAGTGTTGAGTTAGAGGGAGGTAAGTTGAGGACAAACACAGACCATAACCTGTACAAGGAATTCATTACATTCCTTGTGCCAAGGAGGCACAAGGAGGTGCAGGCTCACCACCGGCAGAGCTGTACACTGAGGACCAGGGACAAAGAAAGGATATTGAAATTGTGCTGCCAAAAAGAGTTTTAATGATTTTCAACATCAGCTGAAATCCCCTCCCTACACTCAGTTGTGAAACTCACAGAGAAACTACATTGGCACAAGCATCCTTCCTGTTCCATTATTGGCTTCCAGTRCTGTT